TGTGTGCTTGGAGCCTAGTCCACTGTCCAAATTTTTAAATTTGAGGGCTCCAAGTACGTGTTTTCATGCAATTGCCTGCTCAGTATGCTTTGAATTGACAGTCTTTATAGTAATATGCAACCTAGGGAGGTAGTGTAGCACTATGGAGGATGTTGATGCATTTAAGAAATCTCATTTCTTCTTCATATTGTATTGGTTGATTGAGTGAATTAGTGATCTTAGGACCCTTGAATTGTGTGGTGTTGTGGATTCTCTACCTGTCATGGACTCTTGTATCATGTTTTGAGTTTAACAGGTGCTCGAAAATGTGCTTCAAAATAAACGTCTCCCGTGCGAATAGGGCGAAAGTGTGTAAGGGGAGACGGGAATCCGTTCCCAATTTCCACCTACTACCTCCAGCCTCCTTACATGTCTTTCCCCCGCACGAGGCTCGAGACATCCGCTCCTGGCATGGCCGGTAAGAGCAGGTTGGGACCCTTGAAAAGAAAAGAAAAGAAAAATAACAGAAAACAAGCAAAACATAAAGAAAAGGGGTTCCAACCATCTTCAAGAATAAAATAGAGCGCCTTAAAAAATGTGAGTCAATGATCCTTTGTTTTTGAGAATCTCTTCATCCACAATTCATTTGTCCTCTGTTCACTTTTTGCCATGATGCCGACTCGATAAGAAGCTTTGAGATGACTTGAGCGTCGGTTGACCTCGTAAGCTGCTAAATGACCTAGGAAGTCCTCTACTTACGATATGGGTTGTTTGTTGCTATAGAGGTCTGGAGAGTTGCATTGGTTTGAGTTAGGTTTGCTTGGGGACAAGCAAACGGTTAAGTGTGGGGGAATTTGATAACGATGTAAATGCACATGTTTGCGCCCCTAGTTCTTATCCGTTTGAGGAGTATAGTCGTGTGTTTTGGCCTATTTTACGCCGGGTTGTGCTATTTTGTCATGTTTCAGGTCCCAGGCGTTAAAGGGAAGGCTAACCGCGAGTTTCGGGGCATTCGGAAGTCATTTCGGTGAGCTGGAGCCAAAACACGGGCAGACCCAAGGCATTACACGGCCGTGTACTGCTGGCCGTGCTTTTTATGCCGAGAGCAAATTTGGTTTGACCAATTCAGTTGCAAACACGGGCACTGAAGCACGGTCGTGTTCAGTCAAAGCACGGCCGTGTCCATCGCGAAGCACGGCCGTGTTTCCACCAGCTGCTGGCCGTGTAATTAAGCCCTGGCCGAGGCACGGGCGGAGTCAGGCAAAGCACGGCCGTGCCCTCGACCGTGCTTTGGCCACTGATGCTTTTAAGCAGATTTTCAGCCACAATTCAAGGGGATTCGAGTTTTTGAGAGAGAGATCAGTTCCTAGAGAGATAAAGTGACGAGCAAGAGTTCCCAAGTGCCCTAGATTGATCTTCAACACTATTGGAGGCCAGCTTGAGCTTGGAGAAGTGCCAATCAACGTCCAGAAGCAGGAATCCATCCTTCACAGTATGAATTCCGTGTCTGATTCTGCTTTTGCTTTCTTCTCCATGGAGTAGTTCTCCCATTCATCTGGGTATGGAGAACCCTAGATTTGTATGTTAGGCTTTGACTGTATGAACCCAAGTACTGATTCTATGATTGATTATATTCGATTGAGGTTTTAATGATTGAATGACTTGAATCCTGATCAAATTCCTGTTGTTTCTGCTTTAACCTAGAATGAGAATATCTGCCTAGGTTAATAGAGTATCCTTGATTGAAGGTAGGGAGTTGGTGACTTTAGTCGAGGAACCAACTCACTATTCTGTACCGGATTTACTCCGGTAGTGGAGGTTTTGTTCTTAGGGCCTCAATCTGTCTACTCCGGTGGAGGTTAGTCGCCCGCTAGAGATTCAGATTGAGAGGGTCTGAAGACCTTTAGTCGAGACTTCAGGCTGTTTAAGAACCTTCCGCAGTATAACTTTCATAGAAACTGAACTTGGTAATTACAATCCGGCTTAACTGCAGTCTAGGGGGAACCATATACGGGTGACCTCTTTAACTTGAATACAACCGTTTGTTTGCTTTGTTAGTTTGTTAGTTTAGACTTGCATTCCAGTTTCATTGCTAGATAACACGAATTCACTGAGTAGTCATCATATCTAGGACCCGGGTTGATAATTAAACCTAAACCCGCTATACTACGCTTTAGGAAGTGGTTACACTTGGCCAATTCCTGGAGTGACAGTAGAGTCGAGTCAGTATCTCTGGAATATCCAGGATTAATCCACAGAAGAGCTTGAAACTCTTCAGTTGTTGTTCTTACTTATGTGTTTTGATAGTGGTACAATGGCAGTCGTTTCTTCTCTCATGTACCTCATTCAGTCGGCCGAACACCATTAGGAATTAGGTTAACACGTACCCCTAATCCTACGTGGGCTGCATGGGCCTTAAATGCATTGGGCTCTACATATTATAATACTACTACACTACAACAAATACATATGCTATATGATTAACATCCTCTCCAAATGGATGGGTGGCTAACATCATCAATTTGCTAGACATAAACCACTGTCGACTTGTGGAGAATGTCTTTGTGAATAAATAAACAACATGGTCCTCAGTGCATATGTAGTGTAGTGCAACAGTCCCATCACGCACCATGTCCTGAACATAGTGCACATGAATCTCAATTTTCTTGGTATGATCATGAAGCACTGGTTCACAAATAGCACTAGTATTGTCCACCATTAACTCCATAGGTAACGGAACATATACTCCAAGATCATAGAGTAAGCACCGAGTTTGTAAGTAACATCATATATCGCTATGCTTTGGTAGAAGATTTAGAGACTGTCTTGCTTCTTACAGTGCCAAGAAATATACGAGTCTACATACTGCACACACCATCCTGCAGTTGATTTGCGAGTATCTACACAACAGGCATAATCAGCATCGGAAAACGCACGAAACCGTGACAAACCCACCAAGGAGAATAAGATGCCCACGTCTATGGTTCCCTACAAGTAAATAAGTATGTGATGCACTACGTCCAGATGATCAACACACGAGTCAAGACATAAAATGACTCACCAGCTAAACAACATAGGAGATATCTGGACATGTCGCAACCAAATAAATCAGACTCCCTACAATGCTCTGATACTTAGATCCATCATTTAACCATTCCCTAGACTCTCTGCTCATCTTCAGATTAACTTCCATAGGCATGAATAGTTGAATACTGGCCTGCAGTCCTCAAAACTGTGATCATGTAGTAGGTCAGTAATATGTATACTTCCTCTGAGTAAAAATAATTTCGTTCGAATTGCGGGATACTTCTGGCACAAGAAAATATGACAACTCTCCTAAGTCCTTAATACAGAAAGATGCTTGAAGTCCTTCTTTGAGTCTGCAAATGCCCTCATAGTCCTACCCAGTATTAACCATATCATTCACGTACAGTACGAGAACAACAATACCTCAGGGAGAAGTCAGTGTGAAGAGAGATGGATCATTTAAACCCTGTTGAAACCCCAACTTGAACAGTGTTACCTGAAACTTGTCAAACCAGACTCGAGGTGCCTACTTCGAACCATATAAAGACCGGTGTAGGAGGCATACTTGCCCAAGAGAGCTAACATGATATCCCGGTGGAGGTTTCATGTAGATGACCTCCTCAATATCCCTGTGCAGGAAAGCATTCTTGATATCGAGTTGTAGAAATGGCAAATTATTATGTGCGGCTACAACAAGCAAGTCAAGAACAGTAGGCATCATCTCCATAGGAGCAAACGTCTCTTGATATTCCATCCCCTACTCCCGTGTATATCCGAGAGCCACAATCATGGTCTTATGTCGTTCAACGGTATCATCGGGAAGCATGTTTATAGTGTAAACCCAACGACTTCCCACAATAGTAATTTCTTGCGGAAGGCGGTCCGCCATGGTCTAGGTGTTATTTGCATGCATGGTCGTACTGTCGACATTATTTGTTCACCATGGTCCAGTTTTCTGTTATCAATCACAAAAAAAATGTAAAACTGAACTGAAAATGGGACAACGGATTTAAGTGATATTCCTAGAATATCCAGGGCTAATATACGGAAGAGTTTGAAACTCTTCGGTTAATGTTCTTATTGATGTGTTTTGATAATGGTACTGTTGATATGACTTGAATCGGATTATCAGCCGCTACGACTGGTAATCGGGGTCTCGCTGACCGGTCAGCGAGTGGGGTCCAGGGGCAACGCCCCGGTGGGGGTGCGGGGGCAACGCCCCCGGCCCACTGTGTATGGGCTCAATGTTATTTGGGTTCGGGTTCTGGGCCTGGTCTGTAACCGTTTCCTTTGCCAGATTGGATTAGCTATAAATACTTCTCATACTCCTCTGTAATCTGTAATCTCCTTGATATAGTGAAACTGGCTCTCTCTCGCCCGTGGACGTAGCTAACACACATCGTGTTAGTGAACCACGTAAATCGTGTGTCGTATTTTTCGATTCTCGCTAGAAATTAGGTTAACACGTAACCGCCAATCCTACTTGGACTGCATGGGCCTTAAATGCAATGAGCTCTACATACTAAAAGTATTTGTTGACCTCTAGTCAAAATTGAAGAGTTTACTTCATTTTGACCATAGGTCAACCAAAACCATTTTTTTTATTGACCACAAATCTAAACATATTTTCTTGTTTACCCATGGTGGATATAAACTGTGAGTCTATGACTTCGTTTGACCACTAATGGACTGAGAATTTTTAATTTGTTTGACCACTGGTCAATCGAAAGTTTGACTTGATTTGACCAAATCAACTCAAAATTGGGTCAATATTTTTTAATTTTAATTAATTGTGTTTTAAAAAATTTATATTGCAATGAAATTTACTTAAACACATAGGAGAATACATGTTTTAATGCTATGTTTGTTTGGTGTAAATTCAAGAAAAAAAGGGGGCAACATGGTAAGAAAATAACTCTTTGATATTTTTTAAGTAGACATTTGAAATTTGCAAGCCCCTATATAAACCTCCAAGGCTCATACCACCTTAGCATCATTACCCAACCCCCAAAACAGAAAAAACAAAAAACAAAAAAACAAAAAAAAAAACACAAACAAAATTTATTTGATTTTGTAAATTGTAATGGCGGAGATCAACTACCTTAAGCAAGAGGAGCCCAACGTCGTCGACAACGGAGCCGCCGCCGCCGCCAGGACGAAAAGGCTGCTGCTGATCATCAACTGCCTAATCCTAGCCGTCGGAAACTGCGGCGGGCCCATGATCATGCGGCTCTACTTCCTCCACGGGGGGAAGCGCGTGTGGCTCTCCAGCTGCCTCGAAACCGCCGGCTGGCCCATCATGCTCATCCCACTCGCCGCCGCCTACCTCCGCCGCCGCCGCCGCTCCCCAACAACCAAACTCTTCCTCATCCAGCCCCGCCTCTTCCTCGCCGCCGCCCTCATCGGCGTGCTCACCGGGTTCGACGACTACCTATACGCCTACGGCGTCGCCCGGCTCCCCGTGTCGACGTCAGCACTTGTGATCGCCACGCAGCTGGCGTTCACCGCCGGGTTCGCTTTCCTGCTGGTGAAGCAGAGGTTCACGGCGTACTCGATAAACGCCGTCGTTTTGCTGACGGTGGGGGCCGGGGTGCTGGCGATGAATACTGATGGGGACCGGCCGAAGGAGGAGTCGCGTAGGGAGTACGCGCTCGGGTTCGTGATGACGCTGGCGGCGGCGCTGCTGTACGGGTTTATCTTGCCGCTGGTGGAGCTGGCGTATAAGAAGGGCGGGCAGGAGATTAACTACACGGTGGTGCTGGAGTTTCAGATGGTGATGTCGCTGTTCGCCACCGTCGTTTGTACCGTCGGCATGCTGGCTAACCGCGACTTTCAGGTTCGATCGGCTTTTTTCAATTTCTTTGCTTTTTTTATTATTTTATTTTTATTTCATCAGTTTATGAAATATTCTCTAAAACGAAAATTTAGCTTTGGCTCCACCAAAGACAAACACTAAATTGAGTTTTTATATGAAATGTTTGTTGGATTTTGATTTTTTGTAAAAATGAGTTGCATTGATGTGTAAGTTAAACAATGACATTCATTTTAATATATTCAATATTTAATATTTTGAAACGCAACAGTGACATGAATAACAATCATATATAAATATATATTATTGTTTTTTGAAAGAGTGATATAGATTTACTCTATTGTGATTAGATACTACTTAGAAGATTTGAATTTAGGACCTCTATTTTCAAAGCTTGAGTAGTATTATCACTAGACCAAATACTTGTTCGTCGTAAATAAATATTATTATTGTTGCGTGAATAACCATTACCATTTGTGTGTATAATCAGAATATGCACAAAATATGTGAATAAATATCGAAGACCACGATACATGAATTTGTGCTTGTGAAACCTCTGGAGAGATAACAGTAATCTATTAGCTAACAGTAATAGGGATTAGACTAAAAAAAATTAGAATCAAAATGATGAAAGAGAGCCGAACAAAACAACGAAGCACCTAAACAACAACAAAGACAAAAAGATACCCATAAAATAAAACCCCTTAGGAATGGAGATCCCAAAGCCACAATATAAAACAAAACTTATTTGGCTGGCAGACATATATAAATGGATGATCATCAACATAACCAAAAACATTCTTTTTAGCGTACAACAAAAAAATTGATTACAACCTTCTATCAAAAAGAACAAAAAGAATATTGATCATGAGCAACAAAATCGTACAATTGTATTAGAATACTGATGATTCCAAGATTCCAAGTATTAACCTACAACTAAATTTTCGTTTTTCATATTTTGGTAGAAACCTACTACTGAATTTTCATTTATAAGGGAACAAACTAATTTAATGTAATATCAAACTAGATTGAACGCAATTAACTAACATTTTTTGGTCCGGGTACAAATGGTGCATGGCAAAGAAAGCTTTTCCCGTGAACAAGAACTTCGTCCAATGATAATAACATTGGTTTTGAACATGAAGGTCCGAAATTCAATTCTCTTAAATAGCAATTAATTGAGATACAAAAACCTATATCATCCTTCGGGTAGAAAGCCCTTATATCCGTTCTTGATTTTTGTATATGGTTGCATTCTTTGTGGGACTTGAGTTATATATGCTGATTTTTTATTGAATACTTGAGAAGAGTGTATAATAAATGTCTTGAACGAACAAATAAAAAACAATGAAGGAAATATTTTCAGACTCATATAATTAGCTTGTTTGTTTGTGAAATCACGATTTATTTAATTTCATATCAATTAAGATTTAAGACAACGTTTTTAAGTATAAAATTGCATTTGCTAATCGTTGATGGTATCAATTACTAGAATTTGCGCGTGATTGTTTCTACAAAATTGATAAGTCTGAATAGGTTTAAAACTAGATGAAACAACAGAAAATCTAAGGGTTGAGAAAGCCTGCGGGAGGTTATATCGAAAAATTCAGTGCTATAATAATATTTTTTATTAAAATTATAATTTAACTATGGTTCAAGTGTTTCCCACCGCTAAAATCGACAATTGATTTGGGTCAGAAATCACTTATTTTTTACCTGACCGGCCGATACAATAGGATTTCTAAAACATTGCACAAAATACACAATAATTCTTTTTAAAGTGTCTTTCACTACTGGAGGTTATAACGGAATAAAATCAGTGGTATAATATTTTGTATTAAAATCATAATTTATCCATAATTCAACAATTTCCTACCCGCTAAAACCGACTATTGATTTGGGCCATATAGTCGGCATCTTTTACTCAACCGGCCGATACAATAGGATTTCTAAAACATTATATATTCAAAACACAATAGCATATTGTTTATAAAGTTTCTTTCACTACTACTTGCAATCATAATAATGAGCGTAACACTTATCATGAAAAACGTGCATAACCCTACTAAGAGAAAAGTTAGTTCTGGATCGCTCCTAGCTACTTAATTTTTTATTTATTTATCGTGCACGATCAAGTCTACACTACTTAAAAACCTTAATTAATGTGATTTTAATTTCATGATAAACTGCCCTTTTGCTTTGCATTGTCAAACCACTTACAATATTCTAAATTTCTAATGCACACTCCTAAAAGGAGAGTTGATGATTATCCATTTGTGTCCAACTTGATTAGCAAAATTTAATTATCCAAAGGAGAGTTGATGATTATCCCAAGTCTTTCTTAATTAACTTGTTCTCGACAAATAATGTAACATTAACAGGCGATTCCAAGGGAAGCAAGGGGATCAAGCCTGGGAGAAACCCAATACTACGTCGTCCTAGTGTTCAGCGCCATCATATGGCAGGCCTTCTTCCTCGGAGCCATCGGCGTCATCTTCGTCGGCAGCTCATTGCTCTCCGGGATCCTCATCGCCGTCCTGCTCCCGGTGACGGAGGTACTCGCCGTCATCTTCTACAGCGAGAGTTTCCACGCGGAGAAAGGCGTCTCCCTCGGCCTTTCCCTCTGGGGATTCGTCTCCTACTTTTACGGCGAACATCGCGAGAACAAGAAGAAGAAGTTGAAGCCTCGGCTGTTGTTGGATTCTGCGCCGCGAACGGAAATGTCTCAGACCACGAATCAAACATGTGTGTGAATGTCTGAATCCGTGACATGTTCAAAATAAAAGAATGGAACTAATTTGGTGGCTGATTCCTCATCAGCGCATGTTTTAAGTGAAGTTAGTATCGAGAAAGAGAAGTTTTCATTGTGATAAAAAGAAATTATTAGGGATAGATAACGGTTGATACCCGAAACATCGGATATGAGTCTTATTTTATTTTTCTACCCAATTCTCAGACCACGAATCAAACATGTGTGTGAATGTCTGAATCCGTGACATGTTCAAAATAAAAGAATGGAACTAATTTGGTGGCTGATTCCTCATCAGCGCATGTTTTAAGTGAAGTTAGTATCGAGAAAGAGAAGTTTTCATTGTGATAAAAAGAAATTATTAGGGATAGATAACGGTTGATACCCGAAACATCGGATATGAGTCTTATTTTATTTTTCTACCCAATTCTCAGACCACGAATCAAACATGTGTGTGAATGTCTGAATCCGTGACATGTTCAAAATAAAAGAATGGAACTAATTTGGTGGCTGATTCCTCATCAGCGCATGTTTTAAGTGAAGTTAGTATCGAGAAAGAGAAGTTTTCATTGTGATAAAAAGAAATTATTAGGGATAGATAACGGTTGATACCCGAAACATCGGATATGAGTCTTATTTTATTTTTCTACCCAATTCTCAGACCACGAATCAAACATGTGTGTGAATGTCTGAATCCGTGACATGTTCAAAATAAAAGAATGGAACTAATTTGGTGGCTGATTCCTCATCAGCGCATGTTTTAAGTGAAGTTAGTATCGAGAAAGAGAAGTTTTCATTGTGATAAAAAGAAATTATTAGGGATAGATAACGGTTGATACCCGAAACATCGGATATGAGTCTTATTTTATTTTTCTACCCAATTCTCAGACCACGAATCAAACATGTGTGTGAATGTCTGAATCCGTGACATGTTCAAAATAAAAGAATGGAACTAATTTGGTGGCTGATTCCTCATCAGCGCATGTTTTAAGTGAAGTTAGTATCGAGAAAGAGAAGTTTTCATTGTGATAAAAAGAAATTATTAGGGATAGATAACGGTTGATACCCGAAACATCGGATATGAGTCTTATTTTATTTTTCTACCCAATTCTCAGACCACGAATCAAACATGTGTGTGAATGTCTGAATCCGTGACATGTTCAAAATAAAAGAATGGAACTAATTTGGTGGCTGATTCCTCATCAGCGCATGTTTTAAGTGAAGTTAGTATCGAGAAAGAGAAGTTTTCATTGTGATAAAAAGAAATTATTAGGGATAGATAACGGTTGATACCCGAAACATCGGATATGAGCCTTATTTTATTTTTCTACCCAATTCTTGTATGGGTATGAGTAAAGCCCGAAGCATTTTGCTAGAGTAATGAATATGCACTATCCATCTCGACCCGATCCGTTGTCATTGCTAATTTATATCAATCATTTTTCCTTTTGTTCATTTGACATAAATTAGAGATGACAAAAATTAAGGACGATCTGACAGATACATTCATTTTGGTAAATATGTCATAGAAGCCACCGTAATGATTTTAGACTCCACTCATTAAAACAAAATGACACAAATGACCAACCAATAAAATAAAAATAATAACCAACCTCAGGTCGCTGCATAGCGCAGCAGCACCTATCTAGTTATTATAGATAAAGTTGAAGTTTGGTTAATGTTGTCGAACAAATTACAAATTAGTCATTATAATGTATATTTTACATTTTGATACCCCAAATTTATATTTAATGTAAATTGGTCCAATGTTTACATTTCACTTGAATACATGAATCCAATCCACCAATCCTTTTGAACCAACCCATGAATCCAATCCACCATAACATAAAACTATAAGCTTAGTTTGTACCATACAAGATGTTGTATCAAACTTCTACTGACTACATGTAACAAAATATACCAAATCTACATAAGCAAGTATCAGTAAATTGCTACGGTGAAAAGGGTTGATTGTTGTATTGACGGTCAACTAGAAGAATTGGTCAAAACCTCTCCATCGTCTACTTCCTCTTCGTTTCATTTTTCACTCGCCTTCCATAACCCTTTATTTTTCTTTGACTTCTTCATCTAACCCTAATTAGTATACTATTATCATGTATTCTAATAACAACTATGAACTAGTCCATACACGACTCACCAATAGTCTAGAGAATTAATAATTGAACCATAATCCATTGACTTTTTCAGCTCAATGTCGAGTCCAATTAAAAATAAATATATGTGGTTATTACTTATTAGAAAGTTATCATTTTCCACTATGGGATTTGAAGGCGTGAAATTTTAAGCGAGTTCCAGTTTGTATTCATTTTGCTTCTGTCTAGAGATTTTCTTTTTCACCGGGGCTAGAATTTTCATCAATTATAAATGGAATGTTTGGCTAGATATCTACACATATCAAATAAATAGTTTCAATTTTTCTATAAAAAATTAAATAATTATCTAAATACATCATCATAAAAGAAATTAAGCTTCAACTATGCAAATTATGGTTCGATACCTACACTTAATGGATATTTAGATTTATAATCTAAATCATAATGTCGTTGAAGAAAACCAGCACTGATTTGTGTAGTAACGGTCAAAAAATCTTGTTCATAATAGATTTATAGTATGTAAAGTAGATGATGCATTACAGAGTCTGAAAGACAAATACTTGTAGTTGCCACTGTGGGTGCGGAATGTAGTCTGCGTGCATCCGGACTTGATGGTAGCATGCATGGAGGTCAAGTTTGGTGAAGCATGTTGCACCATGAAGTTCATCAAACATTTCGTTGAGTGTCAAAATTTGAAAACGATCTTTGATTGTGACCAAATTCAAAGCTCGATAATCCGTACAGAAATGCAATGTGTCATTGATAACATCGTATTTGCACATGTTTGCTCCCTCATTTTTTGATTGTTTTGGCTCATATTTGTGTGTTTCTTGGCCCATTTTACGCTAGGTTGTGCTCTTATGTCACATTTTAGGTCCTAGTAAGCAAGAGGAGGCTTAGGCGCAAGTTTTGGGTCGTTTGGAGATCGCTTGGCGACTCGGGAGGCAAACACGAGTGTCCCCTACCTAAACGCGATCGTGTTTCCTATTGCAGCCACCGATGCTTTTTATGTAGAGATCTTTGGAGAAGAAGGAGGCAAACACGGGCGTGATCCTACGAAAACACGATTGTGTTTCATCGATGAGTTGCCCCTGCTTTTGATGTCGAGGGAAATTCTGGGATACGCTGAATGATTGTTAAACATGGGCGTAAGGGAAGCTACAAAACACGACCTGTTTCCTTCATATGCGACCGCATTTTTCCCCTTCTCAGATTTAAGTGATGCGGGTGACTGGGTCAAAACACGGTCAGAGGAGGAATATGGGCGTGTTTCCGACCGTGTTTCACTCAATTTCAGGCGAAGGGAAGGGGAATCGAGCTTTTGGAGCAAAAAAAAAGTTTGAGAGAGAGAAAGTGATGAAGAACAAAACCCAGGGGGCTATCTGGAGCTGATTTCTCACCATTGAAGCCCGAATTTCATCCCAAGGAGTGAAGATTGACATCCCAGAGCAGATTATACACATCTCTGTGAGTATGACTGCTTTGTATTTAGTTTTCCTCTCTCTATATGAAGTAAATATCCTTCTCACTTGGGTATGAAGAACTCTAGTTCCATGTATTAAGGATCTTGTTCGTAATGACCTTTGGATGCTATATTGTTTGGTTTTAATCATTTGAGGCGTCATTTGTTGATTCAATTGGATCTTGATCACATTCTTTTGATTTCTGCTTTGACGTATGATAGATATAATCTGATTAGGTTAAGAGAGCTTCTTCGATTGATAGTAGTGAATTTATTCAAAGTAGTGGAGATTTGTGTGAAGTGCCTAAGCATTCTATTCCGGTGAAGGTTAGTCGCTTGTCGGGTATTGTGACTAAGAGGGCTTGGCCGGCTTAAGAGATTCCAAGATATTATTGGATCTTCCGAAGTTTAATCAACAATAAAATGACCAAAGGAAATTACAACTTGGACCTAATTGAGGAGCTATTGGGCGCATACCCGAGTGACTCTTCTTGCTCTTGAAAACTGAACAATTTTCTTTCTTTCCTTGTTACTTTGCTTTCTACATTTTCACCACAATTTGACTGCTAGATAATAGACATTCACGGAGTAGACAGTATACCTAGGACTCGGATCTATAATGTAAACCTAACCCACTTTACTGCAGTCTTGTGCAGGGATTATACATGGTCGTTGTGGAAGTGTTGTGTTTTTGTGAGTCATCCATCTTTCTTCTTGCCAATGAGCATATCGATACAATCAGACATTGACCACCTCAAACCTGGCTTTAAGTTGGATTTTGTTTTCGATGCCACGCGGTGGTGGCAACTAGTTGGGTTCCTTCAACAGGTCACCAAATTCTTGGATAAGTGCGGGCAACGTCAGAGGAACTTGGCGAAGGGATCCATGTTAGTTGGTGGAAGACAAAGAGCCATGATGTAATGCCCTTCCCTGAAAATTCTCTTGAAACTAGTTGTCACTGGAGGGGAACACTTGATTCTATGGATGTGTCGGAGCTGGCCATCCTAAGAGAATTCCATCTCCAAAGTACCCCAATTGTTCTGGACGGTGCCTAGTGTAGCTAACCACTGGACTCTAAGGACAACATCAAACCCAAAGGTAGGAATTGTATGGATATTTATAGGGCCGGTCAACCCTTGGATACTAAGGGAAATGTTGTCGAGTCTGCCAAAGCACTATAGCAATTGTAGTTGGCAATCTTGACTTGCAGTGTCAGAAAAGTTTCATACAGCTGTAAATAATACATTAGATAGCTGTATAGATAGGACATGTGTCATTACCTTAGAGGATGAGGCAGTTAGAGAGTCTTGTCATGTAGTCTTCTTCATAGACTGTATATATATTCAGCAGCAGAGCTGCAAGTGAAATGCAGAAAGAATTTCACCAAAATCACCTGTCGTTTATCAGACATTCACATGGCATCAGAGCGTTGAGCTCACCCGTTTCTAGGGTTTCTTCATGGCTACACACACTACTCAGGACCCTGGCGGCGGCGGTGGCGGCAGCACCCAATCCACTCGCGATCCTCCTCCTCCACGTCCTGCAATCGATCCATACTACGTCAATCCTAATGAGAACTTATCACAAGGTATCATCTCTGTCAAACTTGATGGCTCCAATTATCATGTCTGGAGTAGATCTATGCGAATAGCCCTTAAAACCAAGAAGAAGCTAGGCTTCATCAATGGCACCTTACCCATGTCTGAAGCAACCCATCCTGATTATAAGGCTAGGGATCAAAGCAACACCAATGTCATGGGATGGATCCTCAACTCTCTTGTCGACTCCATCGCTGAGGCAGTCATGGACAACGAAACTGCCCAGGATCTCTGGAAAGACCTCCAAGAACGATATGGCGAAGCGGATTCAATTCGTTTGGCTCATGTTCGTGGTTACATCCTAACCTGCAAACAGGGCACTGCCTCTGTCACTGATTACTACAACAGATTAGGCGTCCTTTGGACGAAATACCTCTCTTTCAAATCTATCCCTGCCTGTGAATGCGCAGCCACTCCACTTACCACCTCTTGTGTCACTTATGCCGCTGTGAAAGAGTCCCAAGAACAAGACTACACCATCGAATTTATTACTGGTCTCAATGACAACTTCGAGATGACCAAGAACCAACTCCTGCTCATGGACCCTGCCCCCGACCTGAAATCTGCTTACAAATATGCCCTGAAACTTGAAAGACAAATGGGCAAGCAATCTCAAAAAGATAATTCCGGTGTTGACTCAGTGGCTCTAGCTGCATCTCAGTAGCAAAAGGGTAAGGATCCCCGCAGTGACTACTCCAGACCCAATCGCTCCACTTCCTATCAAGGCAACTATTCCACTCCACGGAATCCACCTGAGGGAACCGGCAACAACACTCAAAACCTGTTCTGCAACTACTGCAAACGAACCAACCATGTGATCGCTGACTGCTGGCGACTTAAACGCAAACGAGGGGAGCAGGCATGCCCCAACTTTGCAGCAACTGCCACTCGTGGAGGCAATGACGACCAAGGTTCCGACTTCCCATCCACTGGCCACAACTATGACTCCAGACCACCCAACAACTCCACCACTACACTCCGCCTCTCCAACGAAGACTGCACAAGGCTCATGATGCTCCTTCAACAGACTGCTACCACCAACACCACACAGTCAACCAATACCTCTGCTCAGGCTCACTCAGTGTCCAGCCACCTCCACCCTCCGCCCAACAGTGCAGGTAAATACACACTCTCCTCTTTCACTGCTCTGCAACAGCAGGAACTTCACAATGTATGGATTATTGACACTGGTGCGTCTGATCATATGTGTTGCAACCTTTCATTCTTTACCTCATACCATCTTGTCCCTAATACATTCGTCACTCTCCCTACTGGTTCCTCAATTCGTGTTGAACACATTGGTACGGTTGAAATCAATGAGAACCTCAACCTGCATAATGTTCTCCACATCCCATCCTTCACTTTCAATCTACTTTCCGTCAGCACTCTCACCAAAACCATACCTGTCTCCCTAACCTTTCGATCCTTCTTCTGTGATATCCAGGCCCTTCCCTCACTGCTGCTGTCACACACTCCTCCACCCCAGAAGCTGCTCTGTGGCACGCACGCTTAGGCCACCTCTCCAATTCCAGAACTAAACTTTTCCAACATTGTAACCCTCAAGTGCCCTTAGGCACCATTAGTCATTGTGAAACCTGCCATTTTGCAAGGCAAAAGAAACTCCCTTTCAATTCCAGTACTACTAATTGTATGGAACCATTTCAAATCATTCATTGTGACATCTTGGGTCCCTTGAACACTCTCTCCTACGATGGCTATTCCTACTTCCTCACCATCGTAGACGATCACTCTCGAGCCGTTTGGACTTACTTAATGAAACAAAAATCTGAAGTAAGACCAATCCTCAAACAATTCTGCACTATGGTGCAAACACACTTCCAGAAACTTGTCCAAACCATACGCAGTGACCAAGGACAGGAATTCCACATGACAGAATTCTTCCGAGAACATGGCATTACCCACCAAATGTCTTGTGTCGAAAGACAACAACAAAATGGATGCGTGGAGAGGAAACACCAGGATATCCTCAACATAGCTCGAGCCCTCAGATTCCAATCCCACATTCCCTTACGCTTTTGGAGTGAATGTGTTCTTTACGCAGTACACATCCTAAACCGCCTCCCCACACCCATTCTTTCAAACCAAACCCCCTACCAAAAGCTCTACAATAAACCCCCAGATTATTCTCACATCAAAGTTTTCGGCTCTCTATGCTATGCCTCTACCCTTGACAGTGGTAGAACAAAATTCCAACCGCGAGCAAGAAAGGGTGTCGTTCTCGGACTCGTACCTGGCATCAAAGGCTATAAAATTTTTGACTTAACCACCAAGAAGGTGTTTGTCTCCCGCGATGTCATCTTCCATGAAACCATCTTCCCCTTTGCACCACTCAACTCTGAGCCATCTCCCACTCCAAACCCAACTCCTCCTTCTGCTCCTCCTACCTCACCACCTGCATCTCCCACTCCCTCATTCCCTGCATATGATCAACTGCATACTCTTCATGATCCATTCATTACTGTTGTTCCCACTGTTACTCCTCCTACAAACACAGACTTCCTACCTTTCGAGGCCATGGATGAACAGGATGCAGGTATCGACGAGGCCACACCAGCAGAAGTCGGGGGGGGGGGGGGGGACCTTTCCTCCTGATCCAATTCAGGACCTACCTCCATCACCATCTACACCTATTCACAACATAAGGAAGTCAGACAGAATTACCAAACCACCTGTTTGGCATGGTGATTACTACGTGGGCAGCGTTCAGAGCAACTTCAACAACAAGTATCCCATCTCAGCCTACATGGACTACTCTCAACTCAGCCAACAGCAAAAGCATTTCTCCATGGCAGTCACTAACTTACAAGAACCCCAAACCTTCGAAGAAGCAATGAAAGAGGAACACTGGGACAAGCAATGAAGGCTGAAAGAACTGCACTAGAAGCAAACGACAAATGGGATGTAGTCGACGCTCCAAAAGGGAAGAAACCCATCGGCAGAAAGTGGGTTTAAAAAACAAAACAGCAATCTGACGGCTCATTAGAGAGGCATAAAGCTAGAGTGGTCGCTAAGGGTTTCACTCAAATACCTGGGATTGACTTCCTAGACACCTTCTCCCCTGTCGTTAAGATCAACACAATCAAAACACTATTAGCAGTAGCATCGGTTAGAGGCTGGCACCTCAACCAGATGGACATCAGCAATGCATACTTAAATGGAGATCTACAAGAGGAGGTGTACATGAAGCTCCCTCCAGGCATGGAAATACCTAGAAAGGCCTGCAGGTTAAAGAAATCGCTATATGGATTAAAACAAGCTGGAAGGCAGTGGTATGCCAAGCTATCCGAGGCCCTAGTAAGTTTTGGATTCGTCTAATCCTACTCTGATTACTCCCTCTTCACTAAAAGAACAGGAGACTCCATCACAATTGTCCTAGTGTATGTTGACGATCTGATCTTAACTGGGGATAGCCTAAGCTTAATACAAGAAGCCAAAGAATTCCTATCACAACAGTTCAAGGTAAGAGACCTTGGTAACCTGAAATACTTCCTCGGTTTAGAGGTAGCCAGAAGCAGTGCAGGCATCTCAGTCACACAGAGAAAGTATTGCCTAGACCTACTCATGGATACGGGCTTCCTGAACGGCAAGCCAACCAAAACTCCATCAGACATGAAAACGAGACTAACGCGGTTCAATGACGAAGAGAAGGAAGATCCATATCTATACAAGTCACTGATTGGAAGATTAGGCTACTTAACCACTACAAGACCCGACATTTCATTCGCAGTCCAGCAACTCTGTCAGTTCCAATCAGAACCTAAGACCTCGCACCTAAAGGCAGCATACAGAATTCTCAGGTACGTCAAGAACTCACCAAGACAAGGCCTGTTCTTCTCATCAAGCAACGACTTCTCTTTGATGGGGTACTGCTATTCAGATTGGGGGGCTTGCCCTGACACAAGAAAGTCGATTACTGGGTATTGCACCTTCATTGGGAACTCCCTCATTACTTGGAAAGCGAAGAAACAGGCAGTGGTTTCCAAATCGTCGTCGGGAGCCGAATACAGAGCACTGTCTCAGCTGTCGTGTGAAGTCCAATGGATGACTCAACTACTAAAGGACCTAAACGTTGAACTCAAGGAGCCAGCCACTGTCTTCTGCGATAACAAGTCCGCCATACACATGGCGGAGAACCCGGTCTTCCACGAGAGTACGAAGCATATCGAAATTGACTGTCACATAATCAAGGAAAGGATAAAATCAGGGTTGATAAATGTCAAGTATGTATGCACAGACAGAAACCTAGCTGACATCTTCACCAAGGGGCTGAGCGCTCACCGTTTCAAATGGATTCTCTTCAAGCTGGGAGTATACGACATATACTCGCCAGCTTGTGGGGGGCTGTTGAACTCTACAATCGAAGTGAAAGTGAGAAACCAGGAAATGGTAAAGTTCCAGCAACGATCAATTGCAAAGGAAGAAGAAGAAGATGACGCTAAGCCCGCTCCCTACAATCCGCAGCGTTCCATGTGAAACGCACAGTTTCATACAGCTGTAAATAATACGTTAGATAGATGTATAGATAGGACACATGTAATTACCTTAGAGGATGAGGCAGTTAGAGAGTCTTGTCTTGTAGTCTTCTTCATAGCCTGTATATATATTCAGCAGCAGAGCTGCAAGTGAAATGCAGAAAGAATTTCACCAAAATCACCTGTCGTTTATCAGACATTCACAGAATGGGCTAGACGAAAAGGTGAAGCAGCTCTAACGCTCGCTTGCTAAGTATGTGGTTCGATCCAATGTCCATAAGGACCATGAGTGGGGTTTCGACTACCTCGACCCAAACAAAAAGCATGGGACCGTTAGCTCAGTCCTTCATCGCATGAAAGAAAACATTTGATTCCTCAATGACGTCCGTATCATCTTCATCTAACATCATCCACAATTTTTTACCTAGGCACCGGTGAGTGGCGTTTGGATCCGGGAGGTCGCGGCCGAGGGTTGATGCATTTTGGTAGCGGATTAGTTCCAGCGTCCGTGGCGGTGGGAGGGCGAGGCCTTGACTAGAAGAAAACATCAAAGGTCGGCATTGGCTTTGGTCGTGGGGGATTAGTATAGTCAATGGCCAAATGAAACGGTTGTCGCAATGGGATGCTATGACGATCGCGCTCGTGCTAGATTGATGGCGTTCTTCAATGTTTTGGGATTGAATATTTAAATTCCATCAGCAATGTCAATTTGAGACACCCATAAAGGTTCCCACCAAGGTTGTCAAACCAGTTTATGCCAGTGTGCCGGTTTAACAAGTGGAATGGTTCGACCGGTGGTACATACCGGTTTATGCCGGTTAATTTTACAAATAATTTACAAATACTCATATTTAAACACGATATTTAACGTCAATACCTAAATATTTGTACTTGAATCCAACAAATAACATCAACATTTAACTTTTTAACACATAAAATAAATAATAAATTAATTTTATCAATTAATTTCACTAAGATAAGATCATTTTACTTGGAGATTCGTATATCGATCATGCCGGTGGTGTCATGTCGGTTTTATGACCGGTACAGGTTCAACCAGTGGCACGCCGGTCGACGTGACAACCATGGTTCCCACCAATGCTTGTTGATTCCACTCGTGGATGCGGTTTCCAAGTCCCTTGAATTGGGTGAGATAATCTTTCAGAGTTTCGATTTATTTGATGCAAAAAAAGATTCATCGATGGTTGTTCCAATAGATTGTCCAAATTGCGCTCAGAGTTCAAATGAGAAAGTATCCCAAAGTGATATGGAGACCCATGTGGTACGTAGGACGAAGCTAGTGCCACCACTGGTTGGCGTTGTCCTCAAGATGGTACGGGGCTAGATACACCTTATGATCCTCCGAAATTTTTTAAACTAAAAAAAACTCCACCACTAAAAATCAAACAGTGTGATCATCCCCCGCAAACATGGAAAACTCAAGCTGAGTGAGTTTTAACCTTAAAGAAGGGTTGTCAATCTCCCTCGATTGTCGTGCTCGTCAAGATTAGTTTGTTGTGGCCTATCTTTGACGGATTTGTCTTCGTCAACTGCTTGACGGTCATCAGATCTGGTTGTTCGTTCTTGAGCTAATTGGGTCAAGGTAAGCTGCATTGCAGCTAGTTGTTCTTGAATCACTTGGAAGTTATCCATTCCTGGCTCTGATACCAGATGATAGGGGCTGAAATTGAATGTTTGTATGTCTCATCTTTCTTGGCAGGAGTAAGCCAGATTCTCTTTTCTTGATGAAAAGAACCAGTTCTTTAATATGAAAAATATGCTCAATTATTCCATCGCTTTTTCGGCCTATATGGCCACAACGAAAAATAAGAAATCTATAAAATGAGCCACCAACGCTCGGAAGCAATTCTTATGTATAACCTTGTGGTGAGTAACCATGCATAAACCAATCAGCATATGTCACATCAGTGCCTCTTCTCTCTCCTGGACAGCCTTTAATTTTCTCCCTTAATCTTTAATGAACGATTCTCACTCGTTTTAAGTAGGAATTTAATTTTTTTGCACAGATTGATCAGATTAATTGTGCTCTTCAAAATGATATCCACTTTGATATTTTTTTGGAACAAAAAAATTGAGCCATTTTTTACTAGTATATACAATATGGTATTGACTGGTATTAAATAAGAGCGTACCATATGGGATGAAAAAGCTTACCATGGTGGTATGAACATACCAAGACTGTAGGATGATTGAATACATGATAGTAGAAGTATACTAACTGTCATTTATGATTTACCACTTTCAATATTGTGTACCACAAAATACCACCCCATATCAGGATGGTATTGCGTGGTATTTTTGGTCATGTATTTTGTTCACCCCAGAAATTCGTAGATCCAATAGATCATGATGAACTCGTTTCTTCTGTGCAAACATTTTCAAAAACGACTTAAAAAAACGAAGAAGAAACCATATGGTATACATTTTGTAATGAGAGGCAAAAAAAATATTGAAATGGATCTCATTTTGTAGAGCACAACGAACTCGTTCCATCTGTGAAAAAAAATTAAAATCAGAGTTAAAACGAAAAGGATAATGAGACAACTAAGAAAACAAGGGAAAATAAGAATACATTTAATTTTCTATCATTATAATTGAATTTTCTGAGTCCACTTAAATATGATAGCTGAGATTTTATTTCACTATCCTAGCAAATTAATAAGACTAGTTCAACAGTGAAAACAGAAAGAACAAACTCAAACCCTAACTCTAGCAAGCTGCTGCAACGGAACAGTACAGACAACTCAATGGTAAAACGCGATGACAAGTTTGCAACTAATTATTATGTGTGCATCCAATAATTGAGTTAGGAAACGGTGCGTTCTGGTCTAGATTGGATCATATATACGGTATTTGTTGTAGACCGAGAAGTTGGAATATAGATCAGAGACCAAACCACATACTATACGATCATAAGCAGATCACGCATGTGCGGTCTGACCTGGTACGTTCTAATCCAGATAAATCACATTGAACAAAAAAATGAACAAGTTTAGTTAACCACACGAAAACTGAACCAATAACCGGGACTTATTTCCTTTAAACATCAATTCCAACATGCATGAATAATTTTGACACCCTAAATCTCCAAAAGTAACAAAGATACAAAGTCAAAGCATCCCAACTTGCACAATAACGTCATAAACATTAACATAATTTCATGTTGAGACCCAATTGTCTTTACTCTTATTGAAATGTGTCTATGAATGAATGAGGGGACGAGATTCCCAAAATTAGGGTTGAAACTTGAGTCTCATGGGGGGTTGGGAGAGTAGTCTAGTGGGCTTCTAACACATTGGAAAGTCGCCTGGATCCACGGTTTGGTCCGGTGAACCGTAGTCTAGACCAGACCAAGAAGTCAAAATATCATATAATACAAACCATAGACCAAACCAGACCATTCTTAACGGTCTACAGTTCGGACCAAACTGTACAGTCCAATTTGATCCGTGGTTTTTCACGTTCTATTATATTTACCAACCCTAATAACTGTGAATCGTAAAACCTACTACCACTCTGACGACATGAACACAAGCACTAGAGCCAAATTCTGCAAAAGCTAGGGATTGTTCCGTTACAAATTGCAGTTTGTTTAGTTTGGATAATAGGTATTGTCCACAAATAGTTGAAAGTTAAGATAACATTTCCTCTCATCTGTCCCTATTGAAGTAGCTCTCACGTTTTAGTATACTACCAAACACTACTAGTCAAAATTTTCCAGGGAAACTTGAGATAGACCCGGAGTCCAAGGTCGTCGTCAATCATTGCTCTTAATTTTCTAGTTGTCGAGCGACAAGTACATTAGACAAACATGCACTTGTCACTTTGTCAAATTACTAATATACAACTCTAACTATGATGTTCACAACCCAACTGTGACTCGAGGCCATTGGATAGCACACGAGAACTTCGCATCTGGTGGATGAACAAGGTGAGAAATTTTGTAAATAGAATACCAGCAAGCACCCTCGCACGATCTAACAATGCCAAACCCCTGTGAAATGATTCCTACATATGAGCTGTGACCACCATAGCCAAATTGACTACGATCAGCTGGCTCAGAACGAATATGAGATGATGGCAACCTACAACATAAAGTAATACTATATTTACTAGCTTGGAAGAGTGCAAACTTCTTTTGACAACCATCCATAAGGCAAATCGCAATTGCGCCATATGCTTTTTGCTTTTTCATTAGTCCACAAAGCATCTCCAGCCACCAGACCATTGTCTCAAAGAGCCAAAGTCCATCCTTCTCATCGAGAGAGCCACTAGGACCTGATATTCTCACCCAGTGGAGAAGCGAGAAAAGATGTCAATAGCTAGTCAATCATATTTCCACTATAGTCACAAAAGTTTGAGAAGAACAATACCTTCTTGCGACGGAGGCTCCCTGAACAATGAAATCTGTACATTGACTAGAAGGTTATGGCAAATTTGTCCTCTTGGCATGTTTGCTTGCGGACTTTCTTCAGCCCAGCGTCTTGCCGAGGAGTATCATGATTAGAATGAGGACAGAAAACTCGAGCATGAATCTAGGACTATTGGCATGTTCAAGGAGTCGCTGCCACCTGTAAGTTCAACCAGTAGATAGCTGCTGATAAAGCCTGTGCTCGTCCAGTTCAGGATCTTTAATACAGTCAGAAGCAATATCGCTGAAGCTGCCCCTCGTGGGAGACGGGTCAAAATATCATGCATATGCAATTGCAGATGATGCAGTTATACAGGTTCATTCACAACTAGAGATTAATCGACCTAAGTTCTGCACCCTAGACAATGCCATGAATCCTGGTTTCATACTAGGGAAATAGTTGCAACTCTGACTCTGGTATGGGGACAATTAAAAAGAAGTTTAATTTGTGTAAATGTCCCATATTAGAAATGGTTTCAAGACTATATAATTTTAACTGTTTCTCCATGAACTTGTACACTTGAACAGTTACCATTCTATGACAGCGTTCATGCATTTTGAAAGAAGACAAAGAAACATGCATTATAGCAATTAACTAACTGTTAATCAATTTCATTTCCCTTTCTATTATTCAACCTTAATTCAAACTAAAGCCTCACAGTATGCAATGTTATACTCGAGAAAAGTCTAATCACCACCAGCCTGGGGCTTTGAAGCATGCAGGCAAAACAATGCAGTTGAGCATAAACCCTTATGCTGAGCCAAGTGCAAAGCAGTAGATAAGGTTATGTGAAATACATAGAGATGAAAGTGTGAAGTACAGCACAAGGCAGATATGTAAGATTTTTGCTGGCCGTCACTGAAGCTTGTCATTAGCCTCAATACATAAGACTGACCAAATATGCCTAATAGCAAGGGAATACGAAACAAAATATATGCACCAATCAACAGATATGAAGAATGAACTTACCAATCTGTTTCAGTGGAAGTGTCATTTTCGTGCTTTATCTCTTCCACTGCATACTCTTCCAGTATAGCTCTTTGTCTTTCATTTAGTTCCCTTGAAAAGAAATTAGCAACATGGTTAGGATCATTAAGGAGCAAACCACAACTACACTGTTCCCTCGAAACTTACAGCTCACTATGTTTATCATGCAAAATTTGCTTACGTTGGGAGATTGATCCTAAATCTCACGTATTGATCTCCATGGTTCACAAGAAAACCATGCCGTGGCAGTCCTTCAGAACAAAACAAAAACTTTGAGCATATGAACAACTGAAGGGGAAAATCAAACTTACAACAAGAAATACAACATACCTTTGCGTCTCAATACAAGAAGTTGTCCATGTTGAACCCCCCTTGGTATCTGATATGACATTAAAGAGGAAACGTAGGTTAGCACAAAATGCCAGTATCTGCACATATATCATCATATGCTATTTGGAATTTAACTAAGGGGGGCAAAGTAGGTGTCTGGAGTCTGGTGTACGCAATAGTGGAGTTGAGAGACAAAAGGGATAATGTCCTTCAGATACCACCAATTTATAGCTTCCTATTTCCCACAGCTAGTAATGAAAATCGGCTGCCTATCTCTAGGACATCATTTACAACTGTGGGAAAAGGTAACCATATATGACGATTGACAAAACAAGCTCCTCGACTACAAAAAAGAAGCACTGTAGGCAGAATATTGAAAAGCAAGCAAGTCAAGGAAAAGCTAAGGCAACGGTTTATTACTTGTACTTGCGTCTTTCCTGACAAAGTTGGCACCTCAATTTCACCACCCAGAATTGCCTGGGAAAGGATACAACAATAATGTCATGGCAACATATCTTCACCCCAAAACCAGACTTTTGACGGGAACAAGTTCAGCTCAGACAGACAAGAGGTGGCCAAAGGGGAAAAAAGAAATACTCACTTGGTTAAAACTAATATCAGCATCCACATATACATCTGCTCCGTCTCTGGTAAATAGTGGATCATCGGCTACCTGTATTGCAATAAGAAAACCAAAGGTCTTGAGCAAAGTAAATAAGATCCCCAGGAAAACTTTCAATAGCTAATTATGAGACACAACACTACTGTATAACAGGTTCGGTGCTAGTTAGATAGTAAGTGCAGTCAGTTCCAATAGTACCTTCCTTCCTAGAGAAAGAAAGTTTCCTAGATCGAAAAGACTAAGTAAACGTGGGTAAAGGGAGGATAACCATCTCTCAGATAGAAACATTGTCAGCAATCATAAATACAAATGGGGAAAAAGAAACACGAAGTCCCTATCAGATCCATATCAAGGCATTAATAAACTGCTAGCAGAAAACTCATGTCTGACACCTAGCACTCAGACTTAAGGACATTCTTCCTCAGAGATTTGAAATCAATTAAAAAGCTGAAAATTGTAGGGTTCTAGAATGCACTGTAAGATAATCAGATCCATTTGTGATTTCTAGTTAGAGACAGAAAAGCTTGTGACTTAATCATGCAGAGAAAAAGTGAATCAGTAAGCCTGTGCCTTTATATGTATAAACAGGTTGCCTGGTTGAGTTCCTCGTCCCCCAAAATTACCACCTGTTGGAACACGAATTCTATCTCCTGAATCCACACCTATATATCCATTAACAAGAGTTGGTGTGAAAAGGAATTGAACGGAACTCAGTTAAAAAAATTTAACTACAATTTGTTTCACGTCATAATTATTTAATCAAATAATTGAGCATTTCAACGAACCTGGTGGAATTGTAACTTTCACTTCTTTAATGCCCTCAAGTACCCCAGATCCTCTGCAAGACTTGCAGTGTCCCTGTGCCAAAAGGACAAATTAGAATTGCTTGACAATGCAACCAAAGATTAGATATCATAATCAACAGATTAGTTGGAATGTTCATAATACCTTAATGATCCGTCCTGACCCTTTACACATACTGCACGACGTTGTGAATGGAGGTATAGTAACCTGGTCTCGAGAAAAAAGGAATTGTAAACAAAAAAACAATTTGAACAGCTCAAAATGTTTCTGCTACTAAACATCAGTAAAAATCTCCACCACACTTACTTTCCCTACTCCTCTACAAGTTGGGCACACTCTTGTCTCAGCATTAGCCGGATAGCCTCTCCCGTCTACAATGAAAAAAAGAGGTACACCCCAAATGTTAAATACTAAAGCAAGATCCGAAGACTGTTTCGTACAAGTACAAAAAGGTCAAAGAATTTAATTCTTCAATCTATATGACCTGTTTCTGGGACACTGTTTTTTGTGATGACATTTTTGAAAAAAGCATAGAGCATAACAACCAAAGCTTTTATAAAAGTGTATGAGCAATTCATCAGGTTCCTACTGTCATTATAATGTCTGCACAATTTTTCTTCAGTTAGGTTGGTACTTCAAAAATATGGTACTCTCAACCTTCAGTTCCTTATACAAACTCGAAAGCTAATCAGCTTGTCAAAGGAGTTCCTTTGTTTATAAAACTAGCAAAAAAGGATTCTCATAATATTCAATGGCATGTAAAACTATCGAATGCTCTAATGCACCCAACTTCTGAGGGGTTTTACATTAAAAATAAGTAACATGAGAAAAACATCATCACACATTGTTCAGAAAAACACAGAACTGCCAGTAATAAGCTCAGTGGTAAGAGATCAACAACCAAAAAAACAATAGCAGAGGTCAACAAGAGAAAAACTAACACTTACTGATCAGAATTTTCTAAATGTACCAGTTTAACTTACCACAAGAATAACAAGCCATGTGCGCATCAAATGACAGTTGTTTTGTACATCCACTTGCAGCTTCAGAGAAAGAAAGAACTAGCTCTGCCTAAGAAGTATGAGAATGTGGGATGAAAAACACCAAACAAGGAAAGGTTGATATTGGAGAAATAGGCCGGTCTGAAATAAGCATTTGATGCAAGTGAGAAAGCAAGATACCTGAATGTCAGAGGAAATTTGATCATTCTCCACTTCAAAGATTATCTGAGGAAGTACTCAAGTTTTTTGTTTCAGAATCTCATAAGTCAAAGACGACAATAGGAGGTGCTAGATTTAATATTGGAGTGCAGAATACCTCGGAGAATATTTTCCGAAATGAATCTGAGAAATCAGTATGGTAAGAAGATCTAAAATTCCCTGCACTGCTAGCACCATATCCAAATCCAGTTGCATCATTAGCATCAGATCTAAACCCCTGTGCATTGCCAGAACCAGACAAGCAGCAATATTCAGTCCATGCAATATTTTGTACGGAAAAATATCTAGATCAGGTGCAGCCACCTTCGGAAGAGAACTAAAGGTGGGAACAAAGAATACCAATTAAAAGCTGAGAAATTTTACAATGCTATATAGTATTGGTGCTATAGGATTTTGCCTTTATGGTACAACTTAAAATTGTACATTTACGTTATGGTACAACTTCAGATTGTACCTATACTTTTTGTACAAATTCTTTTATAGTACAACTTGAACTTGTACTTTTATGTGATGGTACAACTTCAAGTTGTAAAGTTGTACCATAACATAATGGTACAAATTGTTTTATGGTACAATCTAAACTTATACATTTAATGTTATGGTACAACTTTAAGTTGTACATTAAAGCACCAATACTATATAGCATAGTAGAAGTGCTCTTAAAAGCTAGGAATCAAATACGTTGCTAAAGTATACCACCACAAACTATAAGACTATACATGGGGAGTGAGGTAATTCAGATAGAAAAAGATGTCATCTACGGTTTGTAATGAAGGAAGGCTCCGAGAACTTACCATGTCATATTGTGCTCTCTTGTCAGGATCTTGCAGGGTCTAAGATATATCATAGCAAATGTAACAAAATCACGATCAGATATTCAAAGTGAGTTAGCCACACACTGAAGAATCCCACCAACCCATCAATGATAAATTTTACACAGAGTGCTAGGAAATAAGAACAGTAAGGAAAATGCAGTAACTCAAACAGTGTATGTATGAACCTCATAAGCTTCTCGTATCTCTAAGAATTTCTTTTGTGCAGAAGGGTTGTTCTTGTTTGCATCAGGATGGTATTTCTTTGCCAACTGCATGTACAATTAATTGATAAAAGTAAGCACATCGACGTGGCTAATTGATTATTTTTCAATTCCTCAAGAGATGTGATAGTTGAAAGAGAGTTGACAAAATTTCTCATACAATTTACGCAAGGTTTGCAAACCATATACACTATGTCATTCGCTGAACCAATATCAAGATGAAGCGTCTAGGCTCCAAAATGCAACTTAACAGCAGTTTGAAAGAAAGCCATAGTGAGATGCAGCATATTAGCATGAAGATTGGCAACAGATCATGGAATGAAGCGATATGGTTCAATCCTTACAAAACCTCATGAAATGCACTCACCACACGAAAGGCTCGTTTTATATCTTCTTTGCTCGCATTTTCAGGAACGCCAAGAACGTCATAATAGCTTTGTTCCTTAGCATGAATGGATCCTGGCAAAGCGAAAAACAATAGATAACTTGAGCCACAAAAATTCAAGTTCGGAAAGTAGAACAAGCTACATAGAGAGCACACAAAAGAACCTGTAGTACGAAAACATCTCCACTGTAGCAACGGAATCTCCACCATTCCAAGACCAGGAGGTCTTCCAATCGACGTATACCTCTGCATAGCTTATCAAACGAGAAGATTGGAAACAGCAAGAATCTGTCAATGAGAGCTCATTGACAAAAGATAATTCCACTGAATTAGCATTCGTTGAGTGCTTACTGCGACAAGGAAGATTAGACGGAGACAATGTAGTGATTCCACGGCGCCTATATCCTCCATTTCCGGCGGCTTCCACAGCGGTGGATGACAAAAAGTGCAGCCGGCACTGCACGGCATCGGAAAATTTCACAGCTGGATTATTTCAATCAGTTAAATAAATACAGAGTTTCATCGCGAATCCTTTTCACTTACTAGCTTGTGCCAACTGTATCTTCCCATTCCGGAGCCGGAAACGAACGGCGGTGCGGCAACAAGTGATTATGATCGGCGATGAGTTTGTGTGAAACGGCTGCTCCTCCGGGGAAGTGAGGAAGGAAGAATGGAAATTTTTTAAAGAGAAGTGAACCTTCGACGAAATGAATTGATAATTTGATTAATCAACGTACCCTTCTTGCTCTGCAAGAATCGAATTTTTCATTTTCTTCCACCGATTCACAACAATGGGTTTAGGGCTTAGGGCAGCTATGCAATGTCGTCGTTTTTGCAGTAGACAATGGACATATCGTGGGCCGTTAGTTTTCTGTGGTTGGAAAATGGACGATCCAGATCTCCTTCTGGCGACTTCTTGGAGGTAAAAAAAAAAAATTCTCCTGCGCCGAGTCAGAATCTGCCCATTCTAAACTCCAGTGAGCAAGAGCGCAAGCTCAAAGCAGAAACGGCTATGGCGATTCGCGCGTTTATTTCCAGTCTCCGACGGCAAACGAAGACGACGACGACGTCTCTCTTTCGAGATTCCTCTTTGTTTCTGAGAGCATCTAGCCCGAATTCTTGCTGCAGTGTAGAGCTACAGTCCGAGGCGAGGTTCCTTTCCTCCGTCGCCTCGCCTAGCCATGTTACCGGCCGGCGAAGCCTCAAGGATAAAGATTCGAGGCTGAGATTTCCTTCCGGAGAGAGTCCGACGACCCTTCTCAAGAACTGGACCAACGAGGGGCGGAAAGTTGCAGTCTCGGAGCTCAAGCCCAGATACAAGAAGCTCCTCGGAGCTAAACGCTACCGTGACGCACTCGAGGTTCTTGCTTCTTCCTCACTCTCTGGTTGAACTTCATAATTGTAGGTGCCCTTGAAAATTTATTGCATTCAGATGATTTAGTCTCAGAAGCTTCGTTTGATCTATTTCATTTTAAAGATACTTGAATGGATGGAAATTCACTGCAAGAACCAAATGTCAGTGGAGGATCACGCCAACGGGCTTGAATTAACCCTCAAAATGCGAGGTATAACCAAGGCTGAAGAGTATTTCGAGCGCCTGCCCAGCTCTGCCTCACGTAAAGCAGCTTTGTTTCCGATTCTTTGCTCCTACGTCAGACAACGGGACACCACCAAAGCTGAGGCCTTCATGGTGAAAATGAACAAGTTGGGGCTGATTCTCGATGCTCATCCGTTCAACGAGATGATGAAACTCTATATGGCCACATCTCAGCATCTGAAAGTGCAGCATGTGATCGAACAAATGAAGCAAAATCAGATACCCAGAAATGTTCTGTCTTATAATCTCTGGATGTGTGCCTGTGGTGAGGCATTGGAGGTGAACAGAGCGGAGATGGTTTACATGGAAATGGTGGATGATCAGACCGTTGAAGTTGGATGGAGTGGCCTGTGTACCCTGGCTAATGTCTACATAAAAGCCGGTATTGTTGACAAAGCTCTCGTAGCGACTAAGAATGCAGAGAAGAAGCTCTCTCCAAGCAAGCGCCGTGGTTATTTCTTCCTCATGACAATGTACTCTTCCCTGAAGAACAAAGAAGGTGTTCTGAGGGTTTGGGAAGCAAGTAAAGCAGTTGGGGGAGGAAGAATCAGTTGTGCTGATTACATCTGTGTGTTGTCGTGTCTGGTGAAGTTGGGCGCCATTGTTGAAGCCGAGGGAGTGTTCGTTGAATGGGAGTCGAATTGTCGGAACTATGACATGCGGGTGGCTAATGTGCTTCTGGGAACATATGTGCGGAGTGGCATGATGGAAAAGGCCGAGTCTTTTCACTATCACACCATTGAGAAGGGCGGGAATCCAAATTACAAGACGTGGGAGATCTTGATTGAAGGATGGGTGAAGACTCAAAAGATGGATAAAGCCGTGAGTGCGATGAAGAAAGGATTGAGTAGGCTGAAAAGTTGTCACTGGAGGCCCTCAGAGAACATCTTGATGCCCATCGCTGAGTACTTCAAGCAACAAGGGAATCTGGAAGAAGCAAATGACTATCTAAGGATTATCCATCACTTGGGTGTTTCAAGCTTGCCATTGTATAAATTGCTCCTCGGGTTCCACCTTCAGGCTCAAAAACCGGTCCATCACATCCTGAGTATGATGGAGAAGGACGAAATTGAGATGGATGATGAGATATCTGCCTTAGTTCGAGCCTCCAAGAGTAGCGCAATCAGTGACACAGGCCATGGTAGTTTCGGTCAATTTGGGTGTCCCCATTCATCGGAGTAAGCGGGAAGTCAGATGGCGTGTTGAGCAAGCTTGTGGCAACTACAAGCCCGTAGCTCCACTGGGGATTAGTGATTAAAATTAAAAGGATTACTTCGTGGTGCTTGGATTCTGGTCGCAGCAAACTTGGCCCCTCCCTGCCTTTAACTGTAGTCGTGCGTTTCATTTTTATAAAACTGGGATGCTTTGTTGCAGTTTCTCTGTTGATAATACACTGATGGAAATGGGAATTAATGATGAAGAAAGCAGGCGACTTTACAAAGGCCAAAAGAACACCAGACATCTCAACACTGAACTATGACAGATTAGCTCAAATTCTGCACCTCCGCGACATGTTGATCGCCGCCTACGAATCTTATTTCTGGCACCACTAGTCTGGCAATTGACAGAATGAACACACATGGTTAGCAGTTTGTTGGTGTTGATCCCCTGGAATACCTTAGTCTTTCATAATCATAACTTAATCGACTTCATCCTGACAAGATCTGGTCACTCAGACCTGACTGAGTCCCGAGGCAGGCTCGGATCAATTTACTAAACTAACGTTAGACATTTGTTTTCATTTTTTGGTCAACGCAAGTAATTCCCGAACAAACAATAGTTTTGATGCCAAATTTTCAATGGTCTGAAAGTACAAGCAATTAGCACAAGGTTGCCTGCATTTATGACAGTAACATGTGTTGTTGCTCTCCATTGCAACAAAATTGACAATCAGTCTCCTACAAACAGAGCAAGACAGTCCAGCTCGGCACATCACAAAGAGCACACCGGGCACTGTCACGGACCAACTCTTGGCCGTGCGGCACTTAGCACTCTTCCGCGTAACAGCACCCTACGATAGACCAAGAGCACCTTGCGCCGCCAGAAATAGTCATATCCATAAGTTGAATCGTCGATACATAATGGTTGATAGGGAAGTGATTGAGAAAGTCAGTCCCTGAAACGTCCTCTAGGACTTCAAAATTACTTCAGGGATGATAAGGCTAGTTCGACATTCCGTGAGATCCGGTCATGAACGGGTTCCTGCTGCCACACAGCAAACAAATCCATAAGTCTGCTCAATAAGAAAACATCAGCTCCATTGCATGGGGATTCTTCTTGTAACTTGCGATTACCTCTGTTATTGGTGGTTTGAATTCCGATTTTGTTATTGTCTCGTACAAGAAAATGTACCTGCTTGTCAAAGGGAGGTGTCATTTCTAAGAGAATGAAGTCATCACATATCAAGCAGAAAAAGGAATTGCAACCTAGTCTTCACTTTGCAATGAAGTTCAAGACTATTCCCAAGAATCTTTGATTTGGTTTTTATAAAGAACAATTTGCATTAGCATGAAATGAACAGACGTAAGCTGATACAGTTAATTAACTTACCGCCAGGCTAACTCACTCACGAGTTCTTCTGGAGCATCAGGGAGAACCTAGAGAAGTCAGAAGTGCATGAAAAAACTTAGTCGTTAGACGAGATGCAACAAACACATTAAACTAAACTAGAGGAGATTTCTTGAGTTGACTTGCCTTGTCTTCGTATGGGTTGCAGTGATTCTTGAACCACAACCTCAAGAACTCCTATAGATTGTCCCAAATTGCATAAGTTAGATTAGTCAGAGACAACTACTGAATAGCTAACCATAAATAGCCATATAAGAATAACACACCTTATCGACATTTTCAGGTTCAAGGCCCTTCTGGAAACGTTCTTCATAGGAACGAGCAATCCAGTATCTGCTCGAGTCAGGTGTGTGAACCTAGTAATATGAGAGAATTCATTTAACGGGAATGCAAGTCAATAAAAACGAGGAGGGCAAGTGAGCAGGATTTTTTTTTTTCTATTAAAGCAAGTGGTTCCGCGAACTGGGAAAGGTTCCTGGCGTACCTCATCAATTAATAGAATGGAACCGTCCGAGCCTTTTCCAAATTCGTATTTTGTGTCCACCAAAATCAAGCCATGTTCCAAAGCCACATGCTGCATTTGAACAGAGAATGTAAGTAACAGATAAGTGACATATGACGTGACAAACAAAACTTGCAATTGAGCAACACAAAAGAGAGGCAAGCCAAGCACTCCATTAAAATCTGAAAAACTAGAGACACAGGATGCTGTGTAGAAAGGCGTAGCAGAGAACAGACATCCAAAGAATACCTGTTCTACTGATACTAATTGATTAAGGAATACTCAACTCTATTCTGTCCTGGCAAAACATCTGATGTACAAATTCTGCATCTCTAAGAAGCCACTTAATGCAGGGACGAATACTGGTTTATTTAAAGTAATTACGAATGACAACACTATCACAATATTGCTTAGAGCGAAGAAACAAAAGCACCTGTCCAAACTCAAATAAGCTCAATGCTTTCTTACTGGCTTCACAATACTCAGCTTCAGTCATTAGTCCAAGTTTAATTATCTGCATCAAACCAAATCAAACTATCCAATTACAACAAAGCACAGAAGAAGACCGCCAAGCAGATCACTACTGTAGTAGATGCTACTAATCAATCTTATGATGACCCTATTGGTCATCTTCATATTTTCTATCAGCATTCTCCTTATTTGATGATTACAGGTTCAAAATGAGAATTCTATAGAAAACCTCTTCTGGAGTCACGGGGACGTCGTGATCCTCAGCCTTGGTTGTTGGGGTGATAATGTTTTTCTGTAGCTTTTGGTTTTTCACCAAGCCTGTGCAGACATCATAGCAGTTTAGCATCAGCCAGTAGTCATGGATGGTGAAATTTTTTACGGCAAATAAAGAAACCAACGAATTACTAAATACTCACCATCTGGAAGAGCATTACCACAATAATTTCGCACACCTTTATTATATACCGTCCACAGCGATGTATCAGTACTTCCTGTCACATATCCTCTCACTACATACAGCAAAAAAGGACCAAGCTCTCCATAAGAATCGACCTCTAACACAACCGAACCAAAAATCACATATAGATATGTCGTCGACATGCTCACCAACAAATTCAACAGGGAAGACAGAACATTTTTTAGCAATTGTGACATTCTTATCAGGAACAGATACAACAGCATTTGGAGTGATGTGCAGAGTTCTGTCAAACCACCACAGGCTCGTTTCATTAAGAACCTGAAAAGCAAGATACCGTGTGACTCACCAACTTCCAAACCGAAACTGGAATCACCCAAGAAGAATTGCAACATAATATACCTGCCCTTTGAAAGGAATGGAAGCGAGAACTCTATCAAATGCGCTCTGCCTATCAGTGGTTACCAGAACAAGGTACTCTCCACCATCGTATATATCCCTCACCTGCAAAAGAACCATCGGTAGAAACGTCTTTTCCACACATGCTCTTAATGGGTATCTGAGGAAAGTTCCATCCTTGTTTCAAGGATAACCATCTTTACCTTCCCTCTGGTTTTGGACTTGAGGCCAGGAACCGTCAAATGAAGATTCGTCTCAGAGAGGCAATTGGACAACCCACCCTTAATCGCACCAAGAACACCCTCTTTGCGGCCGCTATCGAGTAGAGAATCCAGAGACAATTTCTCAGGGTGGTTATGTTCACTCTTCAGCGACATCGAGGAGAAAGAAATTCTACGACCGCTTTGAGTGGAATTCGGCTGAAAGGAAGAAATCGAAGAGGGAAAAGTACCGGGAAACAAAACCCTCTGGTTGATGCTCAAAGGGGTTTTGGGCGGGTTTAAGGTTTGCATAGTTTGAGTGAAGGCTGATATCGTCGAAGCACTTCTTTTAGGTTTTTACCTGAGATGTATTTGTTTCTGAGTTGCTTGTGCAGAGAGGTCTAATGCAGAGAGGTGGCCGAAAGCGCGGATTCCGTCCGACTTACAGGGAAGGTGGAGGGGAAACGGCGGGAATATAAAAAAAACAGCGGAAACTAGCGGCGGAGGCTGCGAATGACTGAAGGAGGGAGATAGAAAGGACGAGTCGGGTGGGCCGGTGGGCTTTCTAAGGGTTCATTTGCTTCATGCATTTGGGCTGATTATTATGAATTTAACAAGTTATTTACTTGGTGAAAAATGATGATTTTGATAAAATTTGAGTTTAGAGAATATGGATGGAGGATGAATGTGAACAAGTCTATTATTTGCTTGTTTGATTTTGTTATGGATTTTGCTTGATTAAATTTTTGAATATGAAGAACAAATTATTGTGTTATCCTTATCTAATTATATTTCTATTATAATTCAATTTTTTCATTCAAAACAAATCTAATATATGCAAATAAATTTTACTCTTTATCACTTCTCTGTGAACTAATAATTCAACTATAGAAATGTATCACAATTCGGCACTAATTAACAATTAATCTAATAATGTACTGATGACTCGATATTTGCACATGTTTTCCCCTTTGTTTCTTGATCGTTTGAGCTTTAATTATCGCGTTTTTGGCCTATTTTATGCTAGGTTGTGTTCTTTTGTCACATTTCAGGTCCTAGCACATAAAGTGAAGCATAGGCGCAAGTTTCAAGTCAATCAGAGATCAATTGGCGATTAGGAAGAAGAAACTCGGACATGAACAAAAGAAGAATGCATTTCTACCTCATTTTATGGACAAATAATCATGCAAGCTTGTCATGAAAAGAAAGAGGACAAGAATATGAGCGTCTGGGATCAAACGGTGACTGATTCGGAGTCCGGACGAGGGAGAAACGAAGCATTGAATATAGGGGAACAAGTTCGGCAGTAAAAACACGGGTGCGCCTAAAGAAAAACACGGCCGTGTCCATATTTAGGCACGACCGTGTTTTGGCCGACGAGGGCTGCTGGGGGCAAAACACGGGCGGGCAAAAGTAAAACACGGCCGTGTCCTCGACCGTGTTTTGCCCAGAATCGGATTTTTTAGGCAGATTGAAGCCAAAGGAAAGGGAGAGCTGGGTTTTGGATCCCAAACACCCTAGGGACGAACCAAAGAGAGAGAGGGCGATTTGAGGGCATTCTTGGAGTGGAACTGGAGGATTTCTTCGCCTTGGAAGCTCGAGGAGCAAGCCCGGACTTGAAGACTGATCATCTGAAGATTCTTACTGCAGTCTCTCTCTTCTCTATAGAGTAACTTCCCTTCACTTAGGTTTTGAGGAACCCTAGCTATGTTTGTTTGATTTGATTATTGTATGAGTACTCTGACTTGATAATCTTGAGTTCATATTCAATCTATGCATATTTTCATGATTCAATTCTGCTTTAGTCGAGATTATTGATTATGCTTTGATCCTATGAGAGCGAATACCTGATTAGGTCAATAGAGCACCATAGATTGATAGTAGTGGATCGATTGCTTTAGTCGAGGGTTGGTTCACTGCTTTGTATCGATTGAGAACCCCTTTCGATAGAGGGAGTCTAGTTCAAAACGCCTTGATCGGTTGTTCTAGAGAAGGATACGTCCCTCTAGGCAATTGACTCAAGAGGGCCTTGTTCCTTTAGTCGAGACTCAAGGTCTAGTCAAGGATTCTCCACATTGTGAATGAAAGTGAAACAAGTTAGAAATCATCAATCGTTAGTTTGGCTAGTGGCTAGGGGGAATCATACCTAAGTGAGTTCCCAACCTGTAATTAGATTAACTTTAACTTTAGTTTCCTAGAGTAGTTTTAGTTCTTCCTTATTAATCTGGTTTGCTAAATAATGAACTAAAGCTGAGTAATAGTAACTCTAGAGACCCGTGGATTCGATATTTACTTGAGCCACTATACTGCAGTCCCTTCCATTGGTTACACTTGGCCATTGTTAGGAGTTGTGTCAAAGGGAGTCAAGTTTTTGGCGTCGTTGCCGGGGACGGCTAGGTTGTTGAAGAAACGTGAATTCTGTTAATTTAGCTTTTCTTTTCGCATTGTTTGTTTTGTCACACTTGTTTGACTGTGTGCAGGTAGTGCATGACCCGTAGCCAATCGGGAGGTTTACTGTCGTTGAATCCGGAGCTTGAACGCACCTGTCGCCAACTCAGGAGACAACAGCGAGCTAGACTGGCTACGGAGGAGCGCATAGACGGCCATTTGAGCAGCGAGTCCGTGGACGAGTACGAGATGGAAGGAGATCGCAATCCACACCAAGGGAATCCTCACCAGGTTCCCCTGGCGAATCAGATCTTGGGGAACAACCCCATACTCCAGGCAGATGGGGTTCATCATCATCCACCACCGTCGGGTCCCACCTTGGAGTACTACTACACTCCACGGATTGCTGACATCCGCCCTGTCATCCTCTATCCACCCATTCTAGCGAACAACTTTGAGATCAATCCATGCTGGATTCAACTCATTACATCCTCTATCCAGTTCCATGGCTTGAAGGATGAGGAGGCGAGGGTGCATCTTTCCCGTTTTCTGCAGCTGACGAGCGGGTTCAAGCTAAACGGTGTCCCTAATGACGCAATCCGCCTTCATCTCTTCCCCCATTCTCTGGCGGGGAATGCTAAGAGGTGGTTGGAGATCCATCCCCCATTGTCCATCACTTCTTGGGACGATTTGGCCAACAAGTTCGTGCACAGGTACTATCTGGCATCGAAGACCACAGAGATCCAGCGGGAGATCACTCACTTCCGCCAAGAGCCAGACGAGTCACTTCGTGATGCATGGGAGCGGTACATGGGATTTTTCTGGCAGTGTCCCCATCATGGCTTCAGTGATGCATTCACCGTGGGGAACTTCTACAATGCTCTCTCTCCGGACAGGCAGAGGGTGATTGAGTCTCTATGCCCAGGAGGGGATATTCTTACTAAGACCCCACCCGAACTGAACCAGATGATCAGTACACTGGCTGCTAGAGATCATTCCTGGGGGCAGGGAACCAGAGGCAGGAATTCCAGGGACCGTGGTGTGCACGCCATGGAGGCCAGGTCCGGGCTCGAGTAGCAGGTGGCCGAGTTGGTGCAGACATTGAAGCAGCCCAACAGTCTTATTCCGGGCAGAGGTTTGGCTACACCTCCAGTAGCTCAATGTCAGTGGTGTGAGAGCTCAAATCATCTGGTGGAAGACTGTCAGGCTATGCGGGAGTCAACTACTCCCCAAGAGCAGTTGGACTTCATCGCCAATGCTCGGCGCTTTGACCCCTACAGCAATACATACAATGAGTGATGGCGCCAGCATTCCAACTTCGTTTGGAATAGCAACACCACTAAGTCACCTGGTTTCCAAGCACCAGCAGGTGGTTTTTAGCAGAGGCAGCCTTTCCAGGCTAAACAGGGGTCAGTCCCTCAGCAGCAGCCTCAGCGACAGTATGCTGAGCCAACAGCAGCCCCGGCTCCAGATAATCAGATGACGGAGCTGAAAAATATTATAGCGGTATTCATGACTACCACCTAGGCAACTTTCACGAGGATGGACCAGAGCATAGCCTCACTGGAGGCAGACCAGAGGAACCAAGGTGCTGTTTTGCAAGATTTACAGAACCAGATGGGTAGCATGGCTCGCCAAATTAATACCCGAGCCCCGGGAACTCTACCTGCCACTACCATCCCCAATCCACGGGAGCCGCACCAGCAGCTGAATGCCATCACCACCAGGAGTGGCAAGTCCACATCGGCGGTAACTGCCCAGGCTAGGAAGGAAGAGCCACTGCCTGCTTTAGCACTTCCAGCCGATGATGTAGAAGTGAGGGTGGAGAAGGAAGCCCCTGCTCCCAAGCCACAACCAGTGGTTAAGGAGCATGTACCCCAGCTTCCCTTCCCCACTCGACTACATAAAGATAAGCTGTAGACTGAGTTTGCCAAGTTCATGGCAATGTTGAAGCAGCTCGATGTCAGAATACCCTTCATGGAGGCACTGTCGAAGATGCCCAAGTACGCCAAGTTCATGAAGGATCTCCTCAGCAACAAGAAGAAACTTGGGGATCTTTCCACAGTGATGCTGAGCGAGGAGTGTTCTGCCATCTTGCAGAACAAGCTGCCCGAAAAGCGCAAGGACCCAGGGAGTTTCACTATCCCTCTTAATATTGGCAGCATGCATGTAGGGAAGTCCTTGGCGGACCTAGGCGCTAGCATAAATGTCATGCCATACAATCTGTTTAAAAAGCTAGACCTATGTGAACTTAGCCCTGCTAGGATGAGCATTCAGTTAGTTGATCGCTCTATTGTGCATCCTAGGGGTATCATAGAGGATATGCTTGTTAAAGTAGGTGCATTCACATATCCTATTGATTTTGTTGTTCTGGATATAAATGAGGATGTGGATGTGCCTTTGGTTTTGGGTAGACCATTTCTTGCCACCGCCAAGGAACTAATTGATGTGCATAGTGGTAAACTAATCTTGCGTGCTGGGAATGAAAAGACTACTTTTTCTGTGGCTGACCTTGATCATTGTGATATGCATGTTGTCACACCTATGCATGCCATTTCTCACCAGGTACACGAGCCTGTCGTGTACCCCTCTGTGCATCTCGTGTTGTAGGATTCCCCTCTCACGCCTTCGTCGCCACCCCATTCAACCTCACCAAACAAAAGGATCAAAGAGGAGTGGCGGCTGAAGCAGCAGGTGGCTAAGCCTGCACGGAAGAAAGGTGGAGACCACTATGAGCTGGTTCCACCTCCTGCACCACGACCACCCTGCCATCCGAGTACTCACTCGCATGCATCTTGCCGGATGGCCAGGTCGAGCTGACCGATGCTGGTTGTGGCACCCGTCGGGTGCATGGCCACAATTTGAAGTTGTACCTCAAGAGCGATGTGGATCCGCTCTTGGAGGCACCTGTTCCTGCACCCCGCTGAGTATCCACCATGGGCGTCCAGCTAAAAGACGGTAAAGAAGCGCTTGTGAGGAGGCAACCCCACCACGGTTTTCATTTATTCCTTTTGTTTTGGGTCGGATTGTAAACTGGTTTGGTTTTGGTTTGTTTTCTTTTGTTTTGGATGATGTATTATTGGGGATGACCATTGGACCTAACATATTGTGTTTGAGTTCTTTTGTTCCCTTTAGCTGTGCCTGTGTCCCCGACTAGTCCTTTCTCCAGTGCGCTTCACTCATACTGGTCCGCTTCCAGTCTTATGCAGTCTGTGCACACTGGTAACATCGTTCCCCTTATCCTTCCCTCTTCTCCATTGAGGGCAATGTCGATCTTAAGTGTGGGGGGGATGTTTCTCTTTTGACTGCATTAGATCTGTTTGTGTGCTTGGAGCCTAGTCCACTGTCCAAATTTTTAAATTTGAGGGCTCTAAGTACGTGTTTCCTTGCAAATTACCTGCTCAGTATGCTTTGAATTGACCGTCTCTATAGTAATGTGCAACCTAGGGAGGTAGTGTAGCACTATGGAGGATGTTGAAGTATAAGATTTTTCCTATCTAGCTCTCTGTTGTGCCAGTTGATTTTGTGAATTAGTGGAGCTAATACCGTTGAATTCATGTGGTAATGATGACTCTATTTGGATGGTGTTATGGACTCGTGTATCGAACAGGGTGTTCGTGTGAAAAATGAAATGCAGTTGGTCCTCCATGTCAAAATCATTAAATCTTAAACATGGGGTAAGCCCAACGTGTGTGGCACCGTTCATTACACAAAATCAGGTTTTGGAAGAGATTTTAGTGATCCTTAGTGGGGTACTCATACAAGGTAAAGCTAAGCTGTCTCTAGTACAAGTAAAACTTCCACCCGTTGAACGGTTTGCCTACTTGAGGATGTGTTTTTAAGGGCACGGATAGAGCTTTCGACCCCCTTAATTCCATTGACCCTCCACACGAGTTGAGGGAAGGAGTTAATAGAAGTACTCTGGCGAGCGCCAGATGTACAGAAATTGCTCTTGCTCGACTAATAAGGGTCGACCGTGCGAAAGACTGCAGTTGGAACCCCCGCCAAGTGAATGAAAAAGAAAAAAAAAGTAAAATGAAAGTGAAAAAGGGGTTCCAACGGTGAAATGAAGTGAAAGAGCACCCCGGTACAACGAGTCCTTGGTTGTGAATGGTGTGAGTCCCTTTATTTATGAACTGATTGTCTTACTTCTACTTCTTCTCATAATCCTGGCTTGAGTCTAGTACTCGCATTGAGAGATATAGGGAACGTCTTAGAAGACCAGTTGACCTCGTAAGCTGCTATATGATCTAGGAAATCCTCTACCGACGATCGGGGTTGTACGTTGCTATAGAGGTCTGGAGAGCTGCATTGGTTTGAGTTAGGTTTGCTTGGGGACAAGCAATTAAGCAAACGGTTAAGTGTGGGGGGATTTGATGACTCGATATTTGCACATGTTTTCCCCTTTGTTTCTTGATCGTTTGAGCTTTAATTATCGCTTCTTTGGCCTATTTTACGCTAGGTTGTGTTCTTTTGTCACATTTAAGGTCCTAGCACATAAATTGAAGCATAGGCGCAAGTTTCAAGTCAATCAGAGATCAATTGGCGATTAGGGAGAAGAAACTCGGGCATGACCTGAAGAAGAATGGATTTATACCTCACTTTATGGACAAAGAATCATGCAATCTTGTCATGAAAAGAAAGAAGACGAGACTACGAGCGTCTGGGATCAAACGGCGACTGATTCGGAGTCCGGACGAGGGAGAAACGAAGCATTGAATATAGGGAACAGGTTCGGCAGTAAAAACACGGGGGCGCCTAAAGAAAAACATGACCGTGTCCATATTTAGGGATGACCGTGTTTTGGCCGACGAGGGCTGCTGGGGGCAAAACACGGGCGGGCAAAAGTAAAACACGGCCGTGTCCTCGACCGTGTTTTTCCCAGAATCGGGTTTTTTAGGCAGATTGAAGCCAAAGGAAAGGGAGAGCTGGGTTTTGGATTCCAAACACCCTAGGGACGAACCATAGGGAGAGAGGGCAATTTGAGGGCTTTCTTGGAGTGGAACTGGAGGATTTCTTTGCCTTGGAAGCTCGAGGAACAAGCCCGGACTTGAAGACTGATCATCTGAAGATTCTTACTGTAGTCTCTCTCTTCTCTATGGAGTAACTTCCCTTCACTTAGGTTTTGAGGAACCCTAGCTATGTTTGTTTGATTTGATGATTGTATGAGTACTCTGACTTGATAATCTTGAGTTCATATTCAATCTATGCATATTTTAATGATTCAATTCTGCTTTAGTCGAGATTATTGATTCTGCTTTGATCCTATGAGAGCGAATACCTGATTAGGTCAATAGAGCACCATAGATTGATAGTAGTGGATCGATTGCTTTAGTCGAGGGTTGGTTCACTGCTTTGTATAGATTGAGAACCCCTTTCGATAGAGGGAGTCTAGTTCAAAACGCCTTGATCGGTTGTTCTAGAGAAGGATACGTCCCTCAGGCAATTGACTCAAGAGGGCCTTGTTCCTTTAGTCGAGACTCAAGGTCTAGTCAAGGATTCTCCGCATTGTGAATGAAAGTGAAACAAGTTAGAAATCATCAATCGTTAGTTTGGCTAGTGGCTAGGGGGAATCATACCTAAGTGAGTTCCCAACCTGTAATTAGATTAACTTTAACTTTAGTTTGCTAGAGTGGTTTTAGTTCTTCCTTATTAATCTGGTTTGCTAAATAATGAACTGAAGCTGAGTAATAGTAACTCTAGAGACCCGTGGATTCGATATTTATTACTTGAGCCACTATATTGCAGTCCCTTCCATTGGTTACACTTGGCCATTGTTAGGAGTTGTGTCATAGCGAGTCATGTACACAGTTATGTGTATCAATTGCAATAAGTTGCTCGCTTTCGCACTACAACTCATCATCTTCTTGCTAACTCCCCAATTTTGGAATCAACAGACAATCAAACAATAATGCACAAGATGAGCATAAGGTGTAAGAAATCTCAATAAAGGAGTAAAAACAAGACTCTGTGAAAGAAGAGATGAACACACATTCAGAATATTAGTCTAGAATATATTAAATATTAGTTTGATTTGTTTTACAAATATTCGAATAAGTATTCAGAAGCTTCGAACAAGTATTCCATACAAATGAACAACTATTCATAAATGTCGCACAAGTATTCTAAGGCGCCGAAGAAGTATTCAAAGCCGTAAAAAATGTATCCAGAGTGGTCTAAGATTTTCAAATCGATTTATGAAATAAAATTGAACTTATTGCCCTTGTTTAAATAAAATACGGCATAACAAACAAAATAAATAATTATTATACTTAAGGTTTAGAGAGTGGAGAAGCAAGTTGACTTTGTCGAAAACCTTGTATGACAACTTTCTCTCTAATTTTTGCTTGACGGTGAGGATGAGAAGGTGAGAGAGGAGGAAGTGAATACCGAAGAGAAAGCCCTTGATTGTTCCCAAGTGGAGGAACAAACTTTTGAAGAGATAGGGAAGGTTGACGAGGCATTTGCGGTCCAAGCAAAAGATAAGGTTGTGGTGGATGAGCCTTGCAAAAGCTACGAGTCTTGTGAGAGATCCCCCACCAAACCTCGATGAGATATTTGAGAATGACCCTTTTGCAGGTTCTCTTCCCCAAGCCAAACTCACACCATCATTAATCCCTCTTGGTGGATGCAATGGTGTTCAATCCATGATGTCTTACATTATGTGTGGCAAAGATAAGAAAGGAGGAGGAAAGAAGAAGAGATATTATAGGTGTAGCCTCAAATCTCATCAAGTCCACGAGTCATCATCATCACTTGTCATTCCAAATGCTCATAACTTAGAAGTAGAAGATGGATAACACGAGAGAGAGTCAATTCATTGCTTTGTAATGTGTGAGAACCTCACCCATTAGAGGGATTCTAGTGTAGAATGCCTTTGTCGTTTGTATTAGAGAAGTACACATCCCTCTAAGTAATCGACTGAAGAGAGTCTTAATTGCTTTATTTGTGATTCAAGGTCTAGTCAGGACTCTCCGCATTATGAATGAAGAGTGATCAAGTTAGGTAATTATCAATCATTGATCTAGTTAGTGGCTAGAGTGAATCAATGCCTAAGTGAGTCCAACCTGTAATTAATTAGATTAATTAGTCTTACGTAGCTTGTAGAGTAGTTTAGTTATTTAAAAATGAATATGTTTTGCTAGATAAAAAACTAAAGTAAAGTAATAGTACACCTAGAGACACGTGGATTTGATATTTTATTACTTACTTCCGCTATACTGCACCTGATCTCTAGTTATACTTGGCCATTGATTGGAAGTGTAGTTAGAGCAAGTCATAAGCCTATCACTAGCTCGGGGGAGCAATTGTTAGTATAAGTGACACTGCTCCAGGAGACCTCATTGCAAATGATTGTTTAAAAGGAAAACGTAAGGTGTCATATGATTTTAAGTTTTTCAAGGAACAATTGAAGCTCATAAAAGATGGGAACATCGCCAAAAAGTCACTCACTGTGCTTCATCCCGGATCTGGATCATCCTCCCAATCAGGAAGGGATACTGCTGCTAAAGAAGCCACGAAAGATGGATACGTGTCTGAATACGAATTTGCTGCTGAATACGATTTCTAATGCTTCATAAAAAAAGTAGCATCGCCATTTTTTTAAAATTCACATAGCCTAACTTGTACTAAAAAGTTGATAATTCTTGTGATGTTAAAATGTTTCCAGAGACATTTGCTATATGTTTTGTTTTTATCTTACGTAGTTCGTGAATAAAGTGGAGTCTACTTCGTCTTCTCTATTGCAATGTTATTTCTTCCTCGAGTATGAAATGTTGCACCAACCCTACTGTTACCCTATGCAGGACAGCTTATTTCCCGGGCATTGACCAGGTACGGGGAAGATTGATGAATACTGAAGCTAGTTAATGGCCACAGTTCACAGTCCATAGACAAAGACAATACATTTGAAATCACCAGATTTAGAGTAAAAAATGTGATTCATATAAAAAGACAAGACAATTGGGATCGCCAAAGTTAAATTAAAAAGGGCATGGGGCAATCGCTACAATTCACAAATCAGTATAGGGAGATAATGGGTACTAATCCTAAAACTGGGAACATGTGGCAGAAATGCAAAGAAAGCGGAGATTGTTGAGATCTTTCATTTTTTTACCATGAGATGGGGATGGTAAGTTCGAGCAATCTGCGCCTGAAAATATATTTATTTGCTATTTGTGTAAAATATCAATACAAAAATCATCGTCCATCAAGATAAAAGGACCTTTAAAGATCTGTACGATGCTATAGTGTTGGCCCGCCTCATGTGGCTCAAGAATAGCCAACGAGCCAAGCGGTGGTAATTATTAAAAAAAATTAAGTCAACAAATATCAAAGCACCGAAAAATGCAGTTGGGGAGGTGAGTTAGCATATGGGAATTCAATTCCCTTGTCTCTCATTGGCCTATAAAAGGCAGCTAGCATTAGGGGTGGCTATACGGTCCGGTCCGGTTAAATTGGACCAAATTGATCCGGTCCCAGTCCGGTCTTTTCGAGAATATAAGGACCAAAGATTGGATTGGATACAGTCCGGTCTTGACCCGGTCATATCCGGTCCCGATTTGATCTTGATTTTAGGTGTTGGGGGTCTCTTATCCGGTCTTTATCTGGGTTTTTTTACCTCAAATCTAAGCCCAAATATGAGATTGGATTGTTTGTTATCCGGTCCCGGTCCGGGTTATACGGTCCGGTTTTGGGTAAAACCAAACATTTCGGACCAAATAGCCAGCCCTAGCTAGCATTGCTTCATTCATCATCCCTCACCATTCCATCCTTCTACATTTCCTTTACTCTGCTTCTATTCGTATTTCTTTTGTGGGTTTTGGTAGTAAAACATTTTTACTACCTCGGGTAGATAGGAGATTTCTTATGAGTGAAATAGTGAGGTTGTTCCTGGAAACACCGAGTGTTCTATTTCCTTTTATCTTGAAATTCTCTGTAACCTATTATCACAATAGTGAAGAAATAATTCAGAGTTGTTGTTCTCGTGGACTGGCCCTAAATCAGGGTATACCACGTAACTCCTCTGTGCCATTATTATTGTCTATGCCTGTTGTCATTATGAGAATAGCCATAGTATATTGTCTTATTAAATTACCAAAGTAAGTTGGTCTAAGGAAGTTGGTTAACGTAATTCTGGAGGCTTGCCGCCAGGTCCAACTTATCTGAGAACTTTTTACAAGTGTATGATTTTTAATCCAATATATTTACCGGCTATTCTCACCCGCTGCGCCCAACAAGTGGTATCAGAGCCACGTTCAATGGAGGCAAAAACAAGCAAGATGATAAGTCTGAATGGCTCCAACTATCACATATGGAGAAACAAGATGAAGGATCTCCTACTCGTGACGGCGTTGCATTTGCCGGTGTTTAGCCCAACTAAACCTGATGGCAAAACTGAAGGAGAATGGGAGTTCAAGCATGAGAAAGTATGTGGCTACATTCGACAGTTCGTTGACGATAATGTATACAACCACATTAGCGGAGAAACTCATGCAAGAACTCTGTGGAACAAGCTGGAGGCACACTATGCATCAAAGACCGACAATAACAAATTATTTTATCTGATCAAGTTGGTCCAGATGAAATACAAGGAAGGCACATCCTTGGCGGATCACTTGAACGAAATTCAAGGGATCGTGGATCAGTTGTCCGGTATGGGCATAAAGATTGAAGATGAGTTGATGGAGTTATCAGCATGGAGGTTGTCAAAAGCGGAGTCTTGAATGAAGAGATGTGGAAAAGATCACAAGGTGCATCCTCATCATCTTCCCAGTCAGACCTTTTGGCGGTGGATTCTAGAAGCAGAGGAAGAAGTGAAGCGAGAGGTTTGAAGCAAAGAGGCAAGAGTCGAGGGAAGTCCAACAAGTTTGCCAACATCCATTGTCATCACTGCAAGGAGAAGGGCCACATCAGAAGATTTTGCCCAAAGTTCAGAAACGAGAGAAGAAAGGGCAAACGAGAAGAGAACAGTGATGATGATGGTGCAAACTCTGTTGATGAGTTCCATATTGTCTACGAGGAAGATGTTGTCAACCTGACAACCCAGGAGTCAAGCTGGGTGGTTGGTAGTGGTGCTACCATCCACGTGACGTCCAAAAGAGAATTTTTCTCATCTTACACACCAGGTGACTTCGGTGTGGTAAGAATGGGAAATGGCAACCTTTCTAAAGTTATTGGAAAAGGAGAAGTATGCTTGGAGACGATGAATGGTACAAAGCTACTACTGAAGGATGTCATGCATGTTCGAGAAATGCGCCTGAATCTCATCTCTGTAGACAAGTTGGATGAGGAAGGTTACTGCAACACCTTCCACAATGGCCAGTGGAAACTCATCAGAGGCTCCTTGGTGTTGACCAAGGGTAAGAAGGTGTCAAAGCTATATGTGACGGAAGCCAAGATCTCCCCAGAGATTGTCAACTCAGCGGAGAATGGTGACACAATTGAATTGTGGCACAAACGGCTCGGTCACATGAGTGAGAAGTCCATGGCAAAGTTGGCCCAGAAGAAAGTCATAGTTGGGTTGGATCATGTTCATCTAAAGAAGTGCATCGATTGCCTTGCGAGAAAGCAAAACCGAGTTGCTTTCAAAAGTTCCTTCCCTTCAAGAGCGAAGAACGTGTTAGATCTAGTTCACTCAGATCTCTGTGAACCCGATGTAAACGTCAAATCACTTGCAGGTGCCATATATTTTGTGACATTCATTGATGACCATTCACGGAAGGCTGGGTGTATACCTTGAAGACCAAGGATAAGGCCCTAGACGTTTTCAAGCAATTCCTGGCCCTGGTGGAAAGGGAAACTGGCAAGAAGCTGAAGTGCATCCAGACTGACAATGGTGGAGAGTACAGAGGTCCGTTCGCTACCTTCTGCAAGGAACATGGAATTCGACAGCAATTCACACCACCAAAGATGCCGCAATTGAATGGGCTAGCTGAGAGGATGAACAAGACCCTGCTAGAGAGAGTCAGGTGCTTGTTATCACACTCGAAGCTACCACAATCATTCTGGGGGGAGGCATTTCTTGCAGCAGTTTATGTGTCAAACAAGTCACCTAGTGTGCCACTGAAGTATGACGCCCCAGAGAAGGTGTGGACAGGAAAAGAAGTTTCCTACAAAAATTTGCGGGTGTTTGGTTGCAAGGCCTTTATCCATATTCCAAAGGATGAAAGGTCAAAGTTGGATTCAAAGACGCGACCGTGCGTATTCATTGGCTATGGTCAAAATGAGTTTGGCTATAGATTCTTTGATCCAATCCAGAAGAAGCTTATCAGAAGTCGTGATGTTGTGTTCATCGAAAATGAGACCATCGAAGATGTTGTTACTAGGAAAGAAGTTCCTAGTACTGATGCTAGTCAACCAAGCCTTGGGCTAGTACCTCCAACGCCGGCGCCTACAGAAGTTGAAGAAGAAGCACAACATGATCAACCTGAGATAGTTGAACAAGATGCTCCCGTGGAGGTTCAACCAGAAGATGCTGATGACGATGGTCAACCACCAGCCATTGAGGGTTCTCCTGTTCGAACAACGAGATTTGGTAGGGTCACACGACGCTCTACCAGATATCCTGAGAATGAATACGTGTCACTTACTGACGGGGGAGAACTAGAAAGCTTCACAGAAACTATAAATGATGAACACAAGCAAAGGTGGATAAAAGCCATGCAAGACGAGATGGATTCCTTGTATGAGAACAACACATTTGAGCTGGTGAAATTTCCAAAAGGCAAGAGAGCTTTGAAGGACAAGTGGGTGTTCAAGATCAAGCACAATGAACACAACCGTCAGCCACGCTTCAAATCCAGACTAGTCGTGAAAGGCTTCAGTCAAAGGAAAGGCATTGACTTTGACGAGATATTTTCACCTGTGGTGAAAATGACATACATTCGTACTGTGCTAGGACTAGCAGCAAGTCTTAACCTGGAGGTTGAACAAATGGATGTGAAAACTGGCTTCCTTCATGGTGATTTGGAGGAAGAGATTTACATGGAGCAACCAGAAGGCTTCAAGAAGGAGAAAAAGGAGTGTGCAGGCTCCGTAAGAGCTTGTATGGCTTGAAGCAGGCACCAAGGCAGTGGTATAAGAAGTTTGAGTTTGGTATGGGGGAGCAAGGTTACATGAAGACTACTTCTGACCACAACGTATTTGTGAAGAAATTCTCAGATGGAGATTTCATCATATTGTTGCTGTATGTGGATGATATGCTAATTGTTGGGCAAAATGTTTCCAAGATCAACGACTTGAAGAAGGAGTTGAGCAAGTCTTTTGCCATGAAAGACTTGGGACCAGCAAAACAGATTCTTGGCGTGAGGATCATTCGGGATCGAGGTGCCAAGAAGATATGGTCGTCACAAGAGAAGTACATTGAGAAAGTACTTCAACATTTCAACATGGATAATGCTAAGGCGGTTAGCTGTCCTCTTGCTAACCACTTTACATTGACATCCAAACAGAGCCCGTCTACTGAGAAGGAAAAGGCGGAGATGGATAAAATTCCATATGCTTCAGCAGTGGGAAGTTTGATGTATGCCATGCTGTGTACAAGGCCAGATATTGCTCATGCAGTTGGAGTTGTCAGTCGGTTTCTTTCCAAACCAGGAAAGGAACATTGGGAAGCTGTGTAGTGGATCCTCAGATACCTTCGAGGTAGCTCCTAAATGAGTCTATGTTTTGGAGATGGTGAACCTGTCCTTATTGGCTATACAGATGCTGACATGGCAGGTGATGTGGATTCAAGGAGGTCCACTTCTGGGTACCTGATTACCTTACCAGGGGGAGCAATATCGTGGCAGTCAAGGCTGCAAAAGTGTGTAGCTCTTTCCACAACAGAAGCTGAGTATATAGCAGTAACGGAAGCATGCAAGGAGATGATATGGATGAAGAAGTTCCTGAATGAACTTGGGTTCCTACAGGAACGACCGCAGTTGTTCTGTGACAATCAGAGTGCTATTCATCTTGCGAAGAATGCTTCGTTTCATGCTCGATCAAAACATATTGATGTCCGATATCACTGGATCCGGGATGTGCTTGAAATGAAGCAGCTCCAACTGGAGAAGATTCATACTGACGAAAATGGATCTGACATGTGTACCAAGTCTCTTCCAAGAGAAAAGTTTGAGTTATGTCGATCAGCTGCAAGGATGATGAAGTCGCCCATGTAGTCAGGCGGGGGAGAATTGTTGGCCCGCCTCATGCGGCTCAACAATAGCCAACAAGCCAAGCAGTGGTAATTATAAAAAAAAAGTCAACAAATATTAAAGCACCAAAAAATGCAGTTGGGGAGGTGAGTTAGCATATGGGAATTCAATTCCCTTGTCTCCCATTGGCCTATAAAAGGCAGCTCGCATTGCTTCATTCATCATCCCTCACCATTCCATCCTTCTCCATTTCCTTTGCTCTGCTTCTGTTCGTATTTCTTTCGTGAGTTTTGGTAGTGAAGCGTTTTCACTACCATGGGTAGATAGGAGATTTCTTGTGAGTGAAATAGTGAGGTTGTTATGGGAAACACCGAGTGTTCTATTTCCTTGTATCTTGAAATTCTTTGTAACCTACTATCACAATAGTGAAGAAATCATTCGGAGCTGTTGTTCCCGTGGACTGGCCCTAAATCAGGGTATACCACGTAAATCCTCTGTGCCATTTATTGTTGTCTATGCTTGTTGTCATTTTGGGAATAGCTGTAGTATATTGCGTTATTAAATTATCGAAGTAAATTGGTCTAAGGAAGTTGGTTACCGTAATTCTGGAGGCTTGCCGCCAGCTCCAACTTATCTGGGAACTTTTTACAAGCGTGTTATTTTTTAATCCAGTATATGTACCCGCTATTCTCACCCGCTACACCCAACATATAGAAGATGCATATAGAAAGGAGCTAAGCACAAACATGGAGAGCAAAAGACACAACCAACGAGAGAAATACTTTGTGATTAGTGAACTAAGTGAGAAATATTATCAGTAGCTTGAATGATTGTGACTTGTGAGTTGTGTGTTCTTCCTATAGCTGAGAGCTTGCGAGTAAGGAAGACATGTCTTATTTGCTATGTTATGTCAAGGGGTTGAGTTCCTCCAAAGGGACTTAACTTGGAGTTAGAGATTGGAATAAAAAGAAACCCTAAGAAAATAGGTCTCAAAGGGTGAGCCGCATTTGAGACGACACGTAAAGCCACATGGCCGAACTCGGTTAACAAACATTTTGTGTTGTGTTTTTACTTTCAACCTTGCTCTGCAAATTGTTTCTATTTTATTGGGGTTATGTTCCTAGTTTATCAGGTTGGTTGATTTTATTCCGACGAGAAACAAACAAGTGTTTGACGAGTGGGCGTGATATGTTGATCATTGAACTAAATTTAAAAATTTGTTGTGGGTCGTACTTCAAATTTGTGGAATAAGCCTTAAACTTAGGGGTGTTCAAACGATTTGGTTACCATGGTAACCGTTTTAACCGGTACTATTTGGATAATTTGATTTGGTTAATTTGGATAATTTTTTTGGTTTGGTTAAAGTTTTTAGCTTGTTTGGTTTAGGTGGTTTGGTTTGGTTTCAGACACTCCTAACCAGTCAAACCAAATTAACCAGTTAAGTAATTAGTCATATATCTAACATATATTATATACACATAATACTTTGCATAACCACTCAAGAGTTAACGTTCATCCCTTTTAGACTCATAAAATATAAAGCTCAATATTGCTCATATAGTGTATATTTGTATATGTAAAGTATAGACCACAACATATGGACGCCTAATTTAGATAAATTTCATACATTATGATGAATGAAAACTTAAAATGAAGGTCATTTCCAGCCTATGATAATTGCTAAGAGACTAAGTCAATTTACACAAACACAACAATTCATTAACCCATACCATTGTCATAATTTTTTGTTAGGTGAATACTTCTATACTAATCGTAAGATAATTGTCTTAGTTGCATGTATTTTTGTTAAGGGTCAACTATAACTACGTGTTGATTGTTATGTTTTATTCATTATATAAATTGCGAATTGTTGCATTAACCAGAAAATTTTCATCGTCAATGATAATGTGATTTTATATTGGTTAATCTGGTTAACCAATCAACCAAACTGATTAAACTTCAGTTTGGTTAATTTGGTTGTTGTATTAGTTTGGACGGTTTGGTTATGATATTGTATTCCATGGTTAATGGAATTTAGCCTTATTTGGTTTGGTTATAACCATGGTAACCATTTGAACACCCCTACTTAAACTGTACGACGAAAAATATACATCTAGATTATATAGTCAATTAATTGACTCTCCTTTCTTCTTACCCTTTTCATCTCTTCATTTCCTTCCACTAAACCCTTGAGAAAGGTTTTTTCCATTGTTATCAAAACCAGACAGGACCGGCCGGTCAGCCCACAAACCGGATTCGATCAGTAATCCGGTTTTGATTACCTCAAAACGAGAACAATCCTGCCTGACTGGGTACTAATCGGTTCGACCGGTTAATTGGGAGACCCGCCTGACCCGTACCGGCGGTTTTGATTGAATTAATATTGACCAAAGAAGGTTTGGCAGGGAGCAAGCGTCAATGGCGTGGATTGGGCGATGGAGAAGGCGACGATAGAGGCGAGAGTAGAAAGTGGAAGCGGTGCTCCTCGTGCAAGGTCCAATACACCTTACAATTGAAAATTTTGTATTACTGATTTTGTCACCGGTATTATATCGATTAATCAACGATTATCCAATAAATCTTAAACTTTTCGTTAATCCGGTTTGCAGTCTAGTTTTGACAACACTGATTTTTTCTACTTGATCAATTTTGATAAAGGAGGGCTATAAAACTCCAATCACCGGCACCGCGGGGAAAATGCACGGGTCACTCAGCGGGCTGTCGGCAATTGGGCCAACCAGAGGCTCAAGCATCATTGACTGACTTCACGCATCCCAAGACCCAAACTCTAGGTCTCCTGCTTAACCAAACTGGACGGACCCGATCACGACACGTTTCATTTATAATTCCGGTCCTCGGACTCGGGTTAACAGACTTGAATCCGGAAGAAATATAAACCCGAACCCGACACGTCGGTCAGAAAGATAAAACGTGAACGATTAACTAAACTAAAACCTCCCACCACTACCACCGCTAGAACTTTCTCCCTCTCCTCCTCCAGTCCTCCCATTTCTCCCCGTCTCTCTCTCTCTCTGTTCCAATGTAAAAGAAAGAGATTGTTATACAATCTTTGTCTCCTTTTCCTCCTCTAATTCTCGGCGCGAAACTTTTCTCGCGCTTCTGATCCGGAGATTTGGCGTTCTTGGGTTTTCTTCGAGCTCCTTCAACAGTATTGGGTTGAGATTATCTGTGTTCTTTGTCCCCGCTGGCAGATCGCGGGCCAGGGGGGGATTCAATTGCCGTTCGATTTCTTGTTTCGTGGGCGTTGAACGGAGCGGTCTGATCTCCCCAATTCCGAGCGAGGTTTGTTCTCTCGGCAACTTATCTGCTTCTTTTAATTTTTTGGCATGGTTATGGGTGTTCTGAATCCGGGATAGTTCGCGCTTTAGGGTTTTAAGCCGTTCTTTGGTGAATGTGCGATGATTTGGGTGCTATTGATGTGATAGGAAAAGAAAGGAACTTGGGTAATGGGTGAGCTTTAATTTGCTCTAGTTTTCTGCTTGCTATTATATGCAATGAAACCATCATTCAGTGGAAAGCTTCAACGGACATTTTGCAGGCTTTGTGCTCTAGGAATTGAACCCCAGAAGTCTCTTTAGTTCAAGGTTGTCCTGTTTTCAAGCTTCTCCAGATGTGCTAGTAAATTATTCCTTGGTATCTCCTATCGGCCAATCTGATCTTGATGAGGAAGAAAAGGAAAGGGAGTGAATGTGATGCCTGTGAGGATATACACGATAGAACTACATCGCCCAGTGATCATGGCGCTACTAAGGGATCTAATTTGATATCCTATTACTCATTAGAAGATTACAATAGGATAAACAAGAGGTGCAAAGAAGATGCGGGTGATGAGCCGATCAATTCATTCAAAAATAGGCTTGCAGGTGTTGCTACCGCACCACCTTGTGGTGCTTCATCGTCCTTGGTGTCTCCTGGGAGGGGGCTTAAGAGAAAGATAGGGTGTATAGAAGTTGCAACTCAGACTGGTAGAAAGAATAAGATTGAGGATGACTATATTTTTGGTGCCACACTGGGACGGGGCAAGTTCGGATCCGTTTCCTTGTGTACATCAAGGACATCTGGAGTGGAGTTTGCTTGTAAGACCTTAAAGAAGGGGGAGGAGACTGTTCATAGGGAGGTGGAGATAATGCAGCACTTATCTGGACATCCCGGGGTTGTGACCTTGCATGCTGTCTATGAGGAGTCGGAATCTTTTCATCTTGTGATGGAATTCTGTTCTGGAGGGCGATTGATCGATCAAATGGTGAAGGAGGGTCGGTACTCTGAGCAAAGGGCTGCTAATATATTCAAGGATGTGATGTTAGTGATCAAGTATTGCCATGAGATGGGGGTTGTCCACAGAGATATAAAGCCTGAGAATATACTTCTTGCTACCTCGGGAAAGATAAAACTGGCAGATTTTGGCCTGGCCATGAGAGTTTCAAATGGTGGGTATCCGCCACAATTTGTTTCTGTGGTTTTCATATTTAATGGCTCTTTGAGATCAAGAAAAACAGTTTTGTATTCATGTGGTTCTGTCGAAGTGCCAGATATGCATCTACAATTTCTGTTGCTAGTGACCGTAAGACATCAGTAGGAACTATTGCTTAACAAGATGCTGTTATGTCTACCTCTTTTCACTGATGTGTAGAAGTTGCTTAGCATTGCTTTATGCAACCACTATGGGTTTGTTGCATGATTTAGAATATTAATGAGGCAAACTAGGGAACAGGTCATCCCAAAGCCTCCAGTCCGCATCCCCATCCTTCACCACCCATTGCCATGCACGGAACAAAAGAAAAGGAAAAAAAAAAAAAAAACAGGCAGTCTGAGGAATCTGCTAGTTTCTTGGAACCTATTTTCGGAGCTGCTTACCTGTAGAGATTAAATTTGTTGGTCTGTGCCACTAAGATATAAGTATGTTTGAATCTTCGACATTGTTGTTCCATTTTAGTGATAAACCGATTTCTGTATAACCACATATGGCATATGTATGGTGTACAGTCTATGTATTCACTAGTTACTCATAATAAGTGCCATGCTATGTCAGGAAATAATCAAAATTAAATTAGAATGAGCTATTAGCTATTGTTTTACAGGACTCCTGTTGCTATGCACTTCACATATGTGCAATAAATGGTGCTTTTTATGCAACCCTTGGAAGCTTCAACTAGGTCTCAACTCCTAGTTCTCATTTTTAAGGATGGGATTGGTAACGTTACAATACCATAGTTGCAAGGGATCAGATCTCCTGAAATATCTGTTATATTGTTTGATCTGCAGGTCAGACATTATCTGGTTTGGCTGGAAGTCCAGCATATGTTGCACCTGAAGTTCTGCAAGGAAATTATTCTGAGAAGGTTGATATATGGAGCGCTGGTGTGTTACTACATGCCCTCTTGGCTGGTGCTCTTCCATTTCAAGGAGACTCCTTAGATTCTGTCTTTGACGCTATAAAAACAGTGAAGCTTGATTTCCAGTCAGGGATATGGGATTCAGTGTCCAAACCTGCACGTGACCTACTTGCAAGAATGTTGACTAGGGATGTTTCAGCGCGGATAACTGCAGATGAAGCACTGAGTAAGCTGTTATTGCCATATACTGTCGAAATATTAAAACATGTTTGCAATCTGTCTTAGTTTGCTGACAAATTGAACTGCCTTTATTTCCAGGGCATCCATGGATACTGTTCTACACAGAGCGCACACTGAGATCCCTGTCTTTCAAGACAAAACTACGGCATCAGGGTCGACCAACTTCGAGCCAAGCCAGCACTTCACATGTATCAGAGTCGGGTAGAAGCCAGGTTGTAGTAGGTAGCTCGCTCGTCGAGGGTTCCTGGAAGCATGCAGTTTTAGATAGCTTAACCTGCAAGTCAGAAGAGGAGGAAGAATGTGAATTTGTGGATGCCCTTGCCCTGGCCATTTCTCATGTGGAGATCTCTGAGCCAAAAAGAAGCAGGTTGTGCAGCCCATCAAGTCCGATAGAGCAGCAGCAATGTTCATCTAACATCACTGTCAGCACTCTTTGTAGAGCGTTCTGATCTTCTGCTGATGCCGACTGACTGACGTCGCTAACTTGATTATCTCCACTGTTATTTTTTCGAGCTGGGGATTCACAAAAGGTTGACAGACAAGAAGAAATGGCCCCTAGTTGGAGTTAGTTCTCAGTGAGCGGACAACGATGGTGGTTTATAAAGTAGGCATAAACAACCATGTGATGGTCGGTATATGGTGGTGGTGTCTTCTCCCTCAATAACACATCTCTCTGTGAAGATCATTCTCTTTATATTGCTATTCGTGTATTTGACAATCTTACCTAATAATAACTAGTGTGGTGACAACTTAGATGAGTTCTGTACAGAATTTTGTATATAGAAGATTGCTAATGAAGCCCTTTTATTCTAGTTTGACTGTCTTCTGCATTATTCAGTACTTTTCAAATCCCAGCGACCTGTAAGTTTGGGTGCTTCTCTTTCAGATGAGTGCCAAATCTGATCTGAAAATTAGGATCTCGGGTTTCCCAACTTGTATTGTTTAATGGGGGATCTTGTTTGCTGTCTTTATTGGGAGTTGACAATCACTTTACTGATCCAAATATTGTCTACTCATATAATCTTCAATCTCGAGGTTGACTTCTTACACAGAACTACAAATAGCTCCACTCCCTGTTTCAAAGACCAAGAAGAAACACCATGGATGAAACAAAAGCAAGCTCCAAAATGTTCACCAAAGCAAAAGCAAGCTCCCATCTTCCCTCCATTAGAATCATCTCAACCGCCCTCGTTCTCTTACTCCTACTGCTTCTCACCCTTTCACATTTCTACTCATCTGCTTCTCCCTCGTACCTGTTCAGAAAATGGCAAGTTGTGCCCTCTTCGACGAACGACGATTTAACTTCAAAGCTTCGAGACTCCGTCACGTTCCTCCCACTCAAAGACCTCCGCTTCTCCAAAACCGCCATGGAAGGTAACACCTGGTTCATGAGCTCGTTGACCGACACCCGCGAGGTCAACGAGTCCGAATACCTCTACTTCCCTTCACAAGCATCCAAGGGCAGAATCCTCTGCATCCAGGGCCGCAACGACAAAGACGGCACCAAGAATTCATACGCCCTCGCATGGCCCGAAGCTCTCCCCGAAGCCGCGAAACTGACGAAAGGTTTGACCTTTGTCTCCGACAGTTACTACGACTATGTGAATCTCTGGCATGGGCTCACAGCCATGGCGCCTTTTGTTGGGTGGTCGATGAAAAATGGTTGCTTGAGACCTTCCAGGTGGGTGCTTTTCCACTGGGGAGAGAGGAGGGGGAAAATGGGGTCGTGGCTTGAAAAGCTGATGGCTGTCAACTTTGGAGAGGTGAAGATCGAAGGGTTTGAAGGAGATGATGAAGGAGGGAAAGCTCAGTGCTTTGAAAAGGCAGTGGTGATGAGGCACAATGTGGGCAGTATGGGGAAGGAGAAGGAGCTTCAGGTTTTCGAGCAGCTGAGATGCAGAGCACGCAGATACTGTGGTTTGAATCCGGCCGGGAAAGGAAGAAGGGAAGTCGACGATGCGTCGATCAGGTTGACATTACTGTTGAGGAGAGGCTCGAGATCGTTCAAGAATGCAAGAGCTGTTACTGACGTGTTTGCCAAGGAATGTGCAGAGGTTAAAGGTTGTGTTCTGAAAGTTGTTCAGTCCGAGGAATTAACCACCTTCTGTGACCAGGTTTTTTTTCATTTTTCTCGTCGTCGAATTCAACATCCAAACGATCCTAGATTGAAGTGTTTTTTACTTGATCTGGTTCGTTTTTCATTTTTGCAGGTGAGGACGATGACAGAGACAGACATCGTGGCTTCGCCGCATGGAGCTCAGCTGACGAACATGCTGTTTATGGACAGAGGCAGCAGCGTGATGGAGTTCTTCCCCAAGGGATGGTTCGAGCTTGCTGGCATAGGTCAGTATGTTTTCCATTGGATGGCTGATCAATCAGGGTTGATCCACCAGGGGGCATGGTGGGAACCCATGGCTAAGAAAGAATGCCCTTCTCCTGATAACGAGCTTGAATGCTTCTTCTTCTACAAAGATGGACAAGTGGGCCACAACGAAACATATTTCGGCGAATGGGCGAGAAGGGTTCTCAATCAAGTGAGAGATAAAAAGGTAGAAGACCATGGCAAGAGGATGAAGATAAAGGCTGAGTCAAATGCCTGCACCTGCTAAATTTCTCGCTTGTTTTATTTACAGAATATGATGTATGTTTTCAGAACGAAAATATTGAAACAAAAAAAGTAGTACAATTCTGGCGCTTAGCTTACTATGAAGACTGCTTCGATAACAAGGAGGGTTGGGTTGTGTGGAGAAGAGAAGCCTATCTTCTGGAAACTTTGGTCCAAAGGTAGACGATGAAGAAGCAGAGGAGTGCAAAAAGGACGACGTGGACTATATGGTTTGAACCATTCTTGATGATGCTCTTGTTCAACTTCCTTATGTTGTTCTTCACGCTTGCTTGAGCTTTGATCACAGTCATTTGCTGTTCAATCAATTAACCAGGCAATGCCATTAGACGGGGTTGCTTGCTGCATCTATTACAAGCAAGAATATTTACTTTGTGTGAAAACCAAGTTCTTTCCAGATCAAATTGCAGAGATAAAACAGCAGCCAACTTGTCACAAATATTTGTGCTGCTAATCCTTACACCTCAAACAAAAGGACCTGCTTCTATTGCTCCTCAACCTTCTTAATGCATCTATGACACATTCCCAACTCAGAACTAACTAAACTAGTTGCTAAGAACCCGAAACAACTAGGGTTTTGTACATCATACAAGAAACAGTGTAGAAGCAATCAGCTTAATTCCCATGAGTGTAAAGACCGAGGACTAGTGTATGGCTAACATTCCTTTGCCCTTAAAAATGAAAAGTTACATTGCTCACAGGTTTAATTTAACCTTCCAGCATGGAAGCTTAACACTTCATATTTACACCAGAAGATAAAGAACCAATGCGAAAAATGAAGTAATAAACAGAGCTTGTAAAATACCAAAAAGCATAAGCAAGGATCATGAGACAAGAGCAAAAGGGAAGAAAAACAAAGAAGGCCAATTAGAGAATCTATGTTTAAGCAAACTTAATAACATACCAACTGATCTAGAAAATCCTTCTGAAATTTCGCTTCTGTCCCTATATCCTGGGCCACCTGCACCACATGCACAACTGAAAATTGAGAAAACTGCCCAGACAAACACCACTAAAAACGGTTCAGCAGCCACAATGACAATTTTATACGATCAAAAAGAATCAGCCAGTATCATCTTCTTATCGAACAAGCTTGATGAACTAAAATTTGAACTTCTTAAGCATGAAATGAGATCCATCTTGAAAAAACCCGGGATATCAAGCTTGAGATTTAATACGATACTGACACACCACGCTTTATGCTTAATCAACCATCGATATCGGGAATCAAAGACAAGAACTTTCAGCTTGCAAAGACTCTATACTGCTCCGGCAAACAGAATGTATTCAATTTTTATACTATCGAAAAGAATCACCGGACATCATCTTCTCATCGAACAAGCTTGATGAACTAAAATTTGGACTTCTTAAGCATGAAATAAGATCCATCTTGAAAAACTCGGTAATTGGGATATCAAGCTTGAGATTCAATACCATACTGACTCACCATGATTTATGCTTAATCAACCATCGATATCGGGAATCAAAGACAAGATCTTTCAGCAAGCAAAGACAGTTATACCGCTCCGGCAAACAGAATCCATCCAAACAAGTGTCCCATGAAAAATCTATGTGCCGCAGACACTTCAAGACAGTAAATTTGAGCTAGACAGCTATTGTCAATCTGCTTTCCATAAATCACATTGCCAACAATATCGGCCAATGTTTCACCCAATCGAATACTAACAATAATCTATTGGGTAACAGATGAATCTCGATCAATTCCCTCTTTCCCCCTAGATACAATAGATGTGCAGGAAAAGCTCTTACATTTCTGAGCATCCTGACTTGAGAACGGAGGCCGGTTATCTCATCATCAAAATTGGCGCTCATCGGATCAATTCGAAGCTGTATCTCGTCCGAGCTCGCCGCCTGCCTCGTACTAAGCCCATCCCTGAGTACCATGTCAAATTTAACAGATATAACCATCGATCCTGACAATTGATCGATTAACCAGAAAAAAAAAACATATAGAAAACAAGGGTTACTGAAAAAGGTGGAACGAACCTCGAACGGAATGGAGCAGCGTTGCCGTTGAAGGGGCCTCCTCGGCTGGAACTGGCCGCCATGAGAAAGAGCAAGAGAAAGAGAAATTTCAAAGGAAAGTTAGGGCAAAAATGATGGAGGTACCGATTCTGGCAAAACAGAGACGTTGTTGCGATCCTTATTTGTCTGAAAGGGAATTTAAGAGGAGAAAGGTGACGCCTTCCGCCTGCGGTTACTAGAGGAGATTCCCCAGCTTTTTAATTCCCCAGATTGAAATTTGCCGGAGAGAATTTGCCGGAGAAGTAATTGTTGTGGGTAATTAGCATAAATGGTAACAAATCTTTGCACTTAGTATAAAACGGTCACAAACCTTTAATTTGTAACAATACGGTAACAAAACTTTGAAATTGTATAAAATGGTCACCGCTATTTAATTTGTGACCGTTTTGTTTTAAGTGCAAAGGTTTGTTACTGAATCGTTACAAATTAAATATTTGTCATGTTTTGAGGTCGGGTAGTTTGTTCGTTAAGTATATGACACTAACCACTTGAACGACATATAAGGTCATGTGTTCATCGACATATTTGCTTTGCTGAATAAGAATGCCCTCAGTTGACCTTTGAATTTCGATACCAAGAAAGTAAGAAAGTAGACAGAGTTTTTTCAACTAAAAAGCAGTCTGGAACCCGTTTGTGAGCCATTGAATTCTTTCATTGTCATCCTTTATGACGATCATATCATTCACATACATTAACAAAACCACCATACAACTAGAGCGAATTGTAACGGTGATTGATCGTTCAAACTTTTGAACTTAATTTGTACAAAACGGTCACCAAAAGTCTAATTTGCAACGACATGGTAACAAAAGTTTGAACTGGTATGAAATGGTCACACTGTTTAATTTATGACCGTTTTGTTCTAAGTAAAAAGTTTTGTTATCAAATGGTTACAAATTAAAGGTTTGTGACTGTTTTGTACTAAGTGCAAAGGTTTGTGACCAATTATACTAATTACCCTAATTCTTGTTCCGCTGCCTGTTGGCAATGGGGAAGATGACGGATAGGACACGGGATGGCAACGTGGTTGCTTTTAATTGGATTAGTTGACGTCGTTCGAATTTTTTTTTATCAACTGCAAAAATATTTGCATGACTTAAACTAAATTTGGAAGGGTTTGGGCTCCGAGATTTGGTGTTTATCATATTTTAGAAGAGATATTTACTTATAAATCGGCTAAATTACATGTTTGATAACTCAAATTATACAAATCTTTTACGTTTACCACTCAAATTATTTTTCTTTCTTATTCGCCACTAATTTTACGAATCGTTTCATCATTACTCACCGATCGTTACATTCCGTTAAATTTGTCCTACGTGACAGTGAACTATAAAGTTTAACCGTTAACTAGATGATGTCGAAATTATAAAAAAAAAATTATTTTACCACCTCATCATTCCATTTACTTTGTTAGTTTGTTTATATGATTTATCATATTAATTAATTAATAAACTACAAAAAAATTAGTTGTCAGCGAGAGGAACAAAGTGCAGATCACCGCCTGCCCTAGGAGTTCCCCCGAAGTACCAAATCCATTCTTGGCGAGTCCCTTCTATGGTAACGATGGAATTACCTGCGTTAATACTACTACCCCACCGTGCCTTCTCCTTCTCACACACCGCCGGCGGGAAAGGTGGTGGCGGTCCCAGTCCACTTCGTCGACTCCTCTTCTCCGGCTCCATCGAGGCCTTCGGATCTGCTACTTCGTAGATCGGGCTCGGCTGCGAAGAAGATCCAGAAGGTGTTCTGGGGATTCACGGTGAGAAAGAGCTTGAAAAAGATTGTAGGGATAAGAAACGAGATTAAACGCTGTGGAAATAAGGATCTCAAATACCACGGATCTGATTAGCAGAGATACCAACAACCGGCTCAAGGTTAAAGAGACTCTCATGAGTTTACTTTTCAAGCTGGATTCCGTCCCTGGCTTGGACCCTGGCGTCAGGGATTTCAGGAAGCGGGTCAAGAAGGTCATCGCGTTGCAAGAGTTTGTTGATTTCAATCGCCGATTCGAGAGTTGAAAATCACGAATCCCTAGAATCACCAGCTACAATTGAAGTTGTAGACAACGCCCACGGTGATTCGGAGTCCGACTCTCCCGATCAACTGGAAATTCCCGGGGAGTATAACGACAAGCAGACCAAGAGCCAATCAAAGTCGACGGAGGATATGCAAAGTTGGACGCTGGCAGATGGAAAAGAAGAAGAAGAAGTCCACCGGTGAGCTAAAATTCCATAAGAAGAATAAGTCCAATCAGAGCCGACCGGGTAAAGACGTTTTGGACGCCAAAATTTCAGAAGAGGTCCCGGCCGGTGAGCTAAAATATTCGATCGGGTATCCTGGACCTCGATCGGGTATTAACCCCCTAGTTGCTGCGTAGCGTTTCGAAATCTCCGGTCGGGCACCTGAAATACACGACCGGATATTGTGGCCGGGAATTGTGACCTCCTGACTTTGGAGGGAAAGAAGACTAATTTTGAAGGGTTCCGAGTTTTAGAGAAAGAAAGAGATACATAGAGAGAGAGAGAGAGAGAGAGAGAGAGAGGCGAACCAGAATCTCCAAACGCCCTAGATCGATCTTCATCACCATTGGAGCTCGGCTTAAGCTTGGAGAAGTGCTGATTGATTGCCAGAAGCAGAATCTCATCCTTCACAGCATGTTTTCCGCATCTGAGCTAGATTTCCCTTCTCTCTCTATGGAGTAAACTCTCTCACTCACCTAGGTATGAAGAACTCTAGATTTGTATGTTAGGTCTGATTGTATGAACCCAAGTATGTATTCATTGATTATTTTCAATGGAGGTTTGGTTTCCTGAATGACATGAATCCTGATCAAATTCCTATTATTTCTTCTTTGACCTAGAAAGAGAATATATGCCTAGGTTGATAGAGCACCCTTGATTGAAGATAGTGAATTGACGACTTTAGTCGAGGAGTCAATTCACTATTCTGTACCGGATTTACTCTGGTAGAGGAGGTTTGGTTCGTTAGGGCATCAATCTGTTTACTCCAGTGGAGGTTAGTCGCCCGTTGAGGACTTAGATTGAGAGGGTCTGGAGACCTTTAGTCGAGACTGCAGACTGTCTAAGAACCTCCCGCGGTATAACTATCATTGAACTTGAACTTGGTGAATTACAACCTGGCTTAACTGCAGTCTAGGGGGAACCATATATGGGTGACCTCTCTCAACTTCGAACACAACTTTCACTACTTTTGCTTGCTAGTTTAGTTAGACCTTCACTACACTTGAACCGTTAAATAATAAGATTTTCACGGAGTAGTCATCACACTTAGGACCCGGGTTGACATTTAGAATTAAACCCGCTATACTATGCATTAGTAGGTGGTTACACTTGGCAACTTTCTAGTGTGACGATAGAGGCGTGTCAGTTGACTCACGACTCACCCAACTTGTTGTCCTCAAACCATCAAAGTTCTAACATATAGCGTTTTTGAAAATGAAACCCTTAAAATCCTAAAAGTCCTCTCAATTTTGATAAAAGGAGTGTTGTGAGGTGTGCTTAAGCAATTGAATGTACACTCAATTTTGATAACTAGTAGACAAATTGAAAGACAAAAAATACATTTGTCTTCCCAAAATGACACTATTTCAAACTATCATTGATTTGTCCTTCATTTCTTTCATCAATTTGGAATTGTAATTTGCGATAATAAGTTAAAAAGCTATTTACGCTCACAACGCCTAGGCGAATGAGACACTAAGCAAGACCAAACATTTTCCTTAGCTTAGTGCCTTTTTGAATCTTGGTTATTATCAGGTTTAGACCATGTTTATCCGCTGAATATTATTGTTTTGTAATTTGTGGACAATTACGAATACCAATATTGTAAAATAAACGATTCACCTCATTTATAGATTAAGAGTTATTTAGTTTGAAATTATTTTTCATTTTAAGTTTGAAACTATTGAAATTATATGATCGTATAAATATATGTAAACCCACTGAAATCCACCCAATCACCCATCATCTGCAATCACCCAACCTACCTACATGTAATGCTTGGGTGAGTGTGGGTCATTTTCTCTTTTACCCACCCAAACCCACATAAAACTACCCGCTGCTTATCCCTACCTATTGGGCATATATCATATAATTGAGTACAAGCAATGATGCCATTAACTCTCAACCTTCTTGCTCGATTGGGTCAACGGGTAACTGGATTGACAAGTTGGTGATACCGACCCATTGTAATCGCTAAATGGGTGGGATCAAATGGTTGTGTGGGATGGGGCCATACATATGTTTGGGGTTCTTGCAAATCATCTTGTGAACTAACAGCTCGAGAAAGGCCCAGTGTTAAAACTTAGAAGCATGGGCAATGAAACCGTACCGGAAAAGTCCGTTGTAGAGTATTTTACGGTAAAATCATGATTTAATTGTTCTTCACCTCATATCGATTTAGCCTCCAATATTAGTATATCGTGGTTGACTGCCGGTACGGTTCCATGGACCATGTTTAAATTAATTTTAAACCCAATGCTATACATGACGTGGACAAATTAGAGAGTAAAATTGGCCGTGGCAAATGGCGGATGGATGATGGCACTCCGCGGCAAAACCAGAGCCGCAATGAGATGCTTCTTCCTCACTCAGCAACAACTCCGACTCCCGCTTCCGCTCACCCCATCTTCCGTCGCTGACATTTCCTCCATCTCCGCACCTTCTTCTCGCCGCTTCTTCTCCTTCACCTGCTCCTCGCTCTTCCGTCACTCCCCGCTTTTCGCATCGTCAGAACAGGCTTTCTCTAGTCCGATTTCATTTCCGGAACTTCCTTCGTCTCCACCTTCGATTCGTTCGTTCGCAGCTCGAGGCCTCCACACCATGCCTAATTCGGATTCAGTCACTTACCTCACCCAGCGTGAAGCTGCCGAGGTCGACGAGATTCTCATGGGGCCTCTCGGGTTCAGCGTCGATCAATTGATGGTCAGTCCTTTGTGGAGGTAAAATTCTTCAATATGTGAACCTTGGCCTAGTAGATGCCTCTGACGTTTCTTTCTTTGGTTCGTTTTGTTTAGGAATTGGCCGGATTAAGCGTTGCCACGGCTATAGCTGAGGTATGCTATGGTTTTCTTAGGGTTGGATGCAGGAACTGCACGGTCTCCGTTTATGGGGTTCTTTATTTGTTTTTGTTTCTGAGGTGGCTTTGATTTTTGGACAGGTGTATAAGCCAAGTGAGTATAATCGTGTTCTTGCCATCTGCGGTCCAGGGAACAACGGTGGAGATGGCTTAGTTGCTGCTCGTCATCTGTTTCACTTTGGGTACAAGCCATTTATTTGTTACCCGAAGAGAACTCCTAAACCTCTTTACTCTGGTCTAGTTACTCAGGTATGTGAGTGCTTTGAATTCTTGGGACGATGTGATTTAATGTGGAATTGGCTGTATGTTGGAGTTAACTTTTGGTTGGTTTCCTTTGTAGCTGGAATCACTTTCTGTTCCTTTCTTGTCCGTTGAAGATTTGCCTGCTGACTTGTCTAAAGAGTTCGACATTGTAGTAGACGCAATGTTTGGGTTCTCATTCCATGGTAATTACTCTATTTATTGCTCTCTTTTGATATCCATTGTAGTGATATTGAGAAAGTTTAGTTTTTCTGTAATAGAAACGGTTGGTATCTCTTTTACTAGAATATTTTTCCAAGGCTATCTTTGCAAATCATTGTCAGTCTCAGTAGTGTTTATGGGTACTCGAGTATTTTAAGCTGTTTGCTTTCCAGCATAATGTTGTAGTCCTTGTCAACAAGTTATTTTTTTTTTCCGATTGGTTAAGGCACTTACAATTTTTTTTCTAACTACTTTTGTGATGTAAGGTACCCCAAGACCACCATTTGATCATCTCATCCAAAAGCTGGTCGACTTGGATGATCCTACTGGTGTCCGCCAGAGGACTCCTGCCGTCGTTTCTGTAGATATTCCTTCTGGGTGGCATGTTGAGGAAGGAGATGTTAATGGTGGAGGCATGAAGCCTGACATGTTGGTAGGTTAATCTTAGAGCTTACGTTTGAAATTTCCTGTCATCTTCACAGTACATGCCTTTTATGCAAATTCACTGTCCCATAGGTTTCTTTGACTGCTCCAAAGCTGGGGGCTAAGAATTTTTCGGGTGCACACCACTTTCTAGGTGGTAGATTTGTCCCACCAGCTATTGTAGATAAATATAAGCTTCACCTTCCACCATATCCTGGCACTTCCATGTGTGTTCGAATTGGAAAACCTGCCAACATTGATATATCAGCTCTAAGGGAGAATTATATCTCTCCAGAGTTCCTTGAGGAGCAGGTGGCGGCAGATCCTTTTGTTCAGGTTTGTGCCTGTCTTTGGAATGTTTCATGACCCCCTCAGTTTTTGGTTACCTATGTCTTAGTCAAGTAATTTTCTCTGTTGCAGTTCCGTAGATGGTTTGATGAGGCTGTAGAGGCTGGATTGAAGGAACCAAATGCTATGGGGTTGTCAACTGTTGGGAAGGATGGGAAGCCGTAAGACCTTCTCTTCTTATGAATTCTTTTCACCTTCATGTTACCGACATAATACATGACCTTGTGTTACTTTTTTGCTAACAGCTCCTCAAGAATGGTTTTGCTAAAAGGGTTTGATCAGGATGGGTTTGTCTGGTTAGTATGGTGGTATTGTCATTGGGTTAATGAAATGTATCCTCCATATGACTTAATTGTCATTGTATTCATACTCTACTTTCTGACTCGCAGGTACACCAATTACGAAAGCCAAAAAGCACATCAATTGTCTGAAAATCCTCGAGCATCACTCCTTTTTTATTGGGACGGGCTTAATCGGCAGGTATTGCATCATGTGAAGCTTCTGTAACGTACCATGTTGTCTGTGCACGGTGCTTGTTATTGGGATTCATACATACTTAGCTTGAGAAATAGTATAAGGATATACATCTTTTTGGCTTCAGAAATAAGGGATTTAAGCGCTTCTAGATTTGACTGTCCAATGAACTGATTCACCTACTTGACTGCCAGCCCACAGTAATATAAACCTTTTAGCTGCTTAATTTCCTGCTCATGGAAATGGCCCACTTGAGTATTTCCCCGTGCTTTCTCCTGAGGTGGTGAAGCTGATTCATGCGGAGTTGGGACTTACTTCCCAAACTACGTTCATATTGCTTTGTGTCCTCAAGTGATTTTACCCTTAGAATCAACATGTTTCTATTTTGTCATGTATCTCAATGTTGAATTGGGCTAAAGTGTGAAGGAACTCTTTTTAAGATGGCTCAAATTGGGAGCATACTTTTGATCAGAAACATGGAGTGTATGGAACGTTTCAACTTTGTAGAAGTATCCTTATGGCATTGAAACGTCAAAGAAACAGTATCCTTACTAATCGGTAACTTTTAGGTAAGGGTAGAAGGATCTGTGCAGAAAGTGTCTGAAGAAGAATCTGAACAATACTTCCACAGCCGCCCTAGAGGAAGTCAGATAGGAGCAATAGTTAGCAAGCAGGTTCGTTCCTTTTACGTTCATTTATAACACCGTATGCAGTATACTAACGTCCCTCGTTCATATGACATTTTTGTTTGCATCATTGTTTATGTTTTTCCAGAGCAGTGTGATTCCTGGAAGACAGGTTTTGTATGAGGAACACAAAGAACTACAGGAGAAGTTCTCTGATGGGTATGCTTTACCTGCACCCTCATCTTGGTTATCACGGTGACGCGTGTTATTTCGCAAGTTCCATTTCTGTGTAACGTCTCAGTCGGATATGCAAAACATAAATTTGGATAGTAACTTTCTGTAGTGACCATTGATGGAAAGGCTCTTGTATGCAGGAGTGTGATTCCGAAACCCATAAACTGGGGAGGATACAGACTTAGACCTGAACTGTTTGAGTTTTGGCAGGGGCAGCAATCCCGATTACATGACAGGTATGCTTCACAATTCATTAGAAACAGCCACAATAATGAGATGGATGAGAGATAATACTTTAGATAAATGTATGTATAGATAATTGGTAAATCGGTTCGAAATTGGCACGCTAGAATAGATATAACACGCAAGAGGGTATCACGGTGAACATTTCTGGGTATGCCTAAATTGCATCTATGGAATGCATTTACCTTGGCAGATTACAGTATACTCCTGAAGAGGTAAAAGGAACACGAGTTTGGAAAATTGTGCGGTTGGCCCCATGACTGGTACTCTCAGCTTCCTCCTTGTGAAATTCTGGTATGGCATGCTTCCGTTTTGCTGTTTTCTTCCCGCACTTGCTGTGTGCTCTGCTTAATTTATTCTCCGCCGGTAGATGCATGTGCGATGCTATCTTGTCATTTATGAATCAGTTAACCTGTGCAGGCAGCAGATAGAAGGGAGAAAGGAAGCATGACGACCCAAAACAGGATTGTGAAGCTCCAATTTCCAGGAAGGAGTTCTTTATCAATCCTGGCGAGGAAGCAGCAAGACATGCTCATCTCACGTAGTGAAGAGGATAATTTACAGTCTTGGTTGCTGTGTAACAATAATAATAATTGAGAGTGATAAAATGTGAATAATTTTCTGTTTATTTGTATTTTTCCACTTATTGAATATTTATCCGGTGCCTGCCTACTCAAAGGTGGTGATGCCGGATTTGTCAGTTTATTGGACTATGGCAGAACGTTGAAGAAGAGCGGTAGTTTTTTTTTACAGTAAAATAACTTCACTCCATCGCTGACAGTAGGGCTGGGAAACGGTGTGGTCTGGTCCAGACCACACCATATATACGGTCTACGGTCCAGACCGAGAGGCTAAAGTATAGACCACAGACTATACGGTTCGGTGCAGACCACGCCTGTGCGGTCTGGTTCGGTTTGGTTTGGTCCAAATAGACCACACTCAACGAAAAATGAATAATTTCTTTAGTCAACCACACAGAAAATTGAACCAATAACCAAGAAAAATAATTGTTATTTGCCTTAAAACATTAATCCTAACATGTATGAATAATTTTGATACTCTAAATCTTATTACATAACAAAGATACTAAGTAAAAGTTTCCCAGCTTGCACCATAATGTCATAAACATTAACATAATGTTATATGGAGACACGATTATCTCTACTTTGTGGTTAAATGTGGTTGTGAATGAAGGAGGGAAGAGATTCACAAAATTAAGGTTGAAACTTGGGTGTCGTTGTGGGAGTTTAGAGAGTGGTCGAATGAGCTATTAACACGTATTGACAAGTCAGTTGGGTCTACGGTTTGGTTCGGTAAACCGCGGTCTAGACCAGACCAAGAGATCAAATCATAAAATAATACAGATCATGGACCAGACCAGACCATACTTCACGGTCTACGGTCCGGACCAAACTGTACGGTACGGTTTGGACCAAGGTTTTTCTAATGGTCTGGTCTATTTTCCCAGTCATAGCTGACAGTAGTGATGGCAATGGGGCTGGGCGGGTACCTCAATACCCATGCCCTGCCCCACGCTAGTACGGGTCGGGGCGGGTACTACCCGCGCGGGGCGGGTCGACCCACTCTTACATGCTATTTGAGAAAAATACACGCACAATTTTACCTTTTATGAAAAAATGAAAGGGAAAATACTTTTTTTTTTACAATTGGGCACACACTTTTCATTCCAAAATAGGCGGAAAGCAGAGTTACAGAAGGGGAGACACAATATCAAGAATATGAATCCAATCCAAGGGAAGTTGGTTCCTAGCGCAGGATCTGGTCACCCAGTCTGCTTTGGAGTTCCTCTTCCTACAAATCCAGTCAATTCTGATGTTGGGGCAGAGACTGGTAAGACATAGAATTCTTCCCAGGTTGGCCGCTGCCCGCCAAGGCCAACTTCTCGCCAGTCCTTGGAGAGCCTTCACCAGAACCAGGCAATCCGAGAAAACCCGGCATGGGGCATTGAGCTCCACAGCGGCCAAGGTCCCTTCAAGTAGAGCTTTTGCTTCCGCCTCAATCTAAGAGAAGCAGTGCAGAGGCTCATCCTTCCCGTCAACAACTTGACCATGGTCGTTCATAATCACGACGCCATATGCCGCCTCCTGGGAATCGTGTAAAAACGATCCATCACAGTGTACTTCAAAACAGAGTGTACTTGGCGGTGGTAAAGCTGGTTCGGGGGGTGGGATAAGCTGAGTTTGAGTAGTGACATGTCTTTTGTTGGGGCAGGATATCCATCGTTGTGCCTCCTCCATTGCGTGAGTAGTCATTGCGAAAGGCCCCGGAAGCTTTTCCCGGAACACCTTTTCATTCCTCGACTTCCAAGTATGCCACAACAAGTAGATACAGTTCTGAACAAGTTCGATTGTCCTGGTGCTCGACAGAGAGAAGAGCCAGTCCAACACATTGGTGAGAGGAGGAGGGGTGGCGAGATCCGGGAAGAGAAGCTCCCAACCATTCGCCGCATGTGGGCAGAGGAAAAAGCAATGGCGAGTAGTCTCCGTCGCATCGTAACACACTGGGCAAGTCGAGGATGGGGAGCAGCGTCGGGTCTGAAGGTTGTGTCGAGTAGCCAATGCTCCTCTCGAGGCACGCCAGATGAAAAATTTCATTTTCGGTGGCAGGTGAAGCCTCTAGAGCCAGTTCCATCTCTCTTTGGTTGTGTCCTGTATAGAGAGCTCTTCTCCTCGATCCCTCCTCCAATTCTGGTGGATCATCTGAAATGCTGATTTGACCGTGAACATGCCCTTTTCGTCAAATCTCCAAGCCCAGTAGTCCCTCATGGAGATGGGGCCAACAGGTGTGTTTGCAACCTCTTGTATCTCCGAGTGGGAGATGAACTCCTCAAGAATGTCGAATTTCCATTCCCGGGAAATGGGATCAATGAAGTCCGCGACAACAGAGGAATCACCATTGCTATCTTGTCTGAGGGGGCCCGCTTGAACAAACAACCAAGGATCTTGGAGGATTTTGGTATCTCTCCCACTTCCAATGACTCTGATAATTCCTTTCTCCATCCACTTCCTTGCCTCCCAGATACTTGACCAAATCCATGAGGCTTTGCTGCTTTTCTTAGCTCTGGTGAAATCAACCCGGGGAAATAAAGGGCCTTCAACAGTCTTGCCCACAAGGCATCTGGGTTTGTGAGCAAACGCCACGCTTGTTTAGCAAGCAAGGCAAGGTTGAAGATATGGAATGGTCGGAACCCAAGTCCTCCTTCAGATTTATGGGCGTAAAGAACTCTCCCGGCCCTCCAGTGGATGGATTTTTTGGAAATAGACCCACTCCAGAAGAATCTTTTCAGCATTGCATCCATCTTGTTTGTCATTGTACGAGGGAGGAGGAAGAGGCACATGATGCAAGATGGAACCGCCTGGAAGACTGCTTTGAGAAGAGTTTCTTTTCCCCCTGGAGATAACAACAGACTTTTCCATGCTTCTCCTCGGTTCTCCATTCTTTGAATAAGGAATTGGAAAGTTTCTGCTTTGGATCTGCCCCATTCCGTGGGCACTCCTAGGTACTTTGAGTGAGCACTGGAACAGTCGAAACCAATTGACTGGATAAAACATCCCTTCTCATTATCAGTCACGTTCTGGCTGAAAAAGACAGAGGATTTTTCCCGGTTGACTTCCTATCCTGTGATTGTTCCATATGAATCCAGGATCTTCAAGATATTCTGCGCTTCCCGGATTGAGGCATCTCCGAAAATCACAGTGTCATCAGCAAACAGGCAATGGGTCAGCAGTGGGCAGTTTCTGTTCAGCTTGAGTCCTCTGATTTCCTGATTCTGAATTGCTTTTTCAATTAGGAACAAAAGGGCGTTGGACATGAGAATAAAAAGAAGAGGAGAGAGTGGGTCTCCCTGTCTCAGTCCTCGGGATGGGGTAAATTCCGATGAAGGTTCCCCATTCAAGAGGATTCGGAATTTGACCGTTGTGATTAGGGGTGGGCGTTCGGTCCGGTTTTAACTCTCCGAACCGAACCGAACCGACCCCGAACCGACCGAAACCGAATTTCCTTCATTTCGGATCGGAATTCGGATGCAAAATCCTTCTACTTCGGAATACATGGTGGTACCGCCCGAAACCGAATTCCGAACCGTAAACCGAAATGTTGTATAAGCTAGTAAGTGGTAATGGGCCAAGGGGCAAGGGCTGGGCTGCAAGCCCAAACCCAATTGAAGAAACCCAGCCCAGCAGCCAGCCTCCCAATGACCCAATCCCAACCGAAACAAGCCCTAACAACCCCTAACCCTCTCGGCCTCTGCCTCTCCTCTCTGCCTCTCGAGTCTCGCCCTCCACCTCCAGCAGCCGCCAGCCAGTCTCCTTTGAATCGATCGTCTCCCGACCCTCCAGCGACCAGCAGCCAAAACTCCATTCCGTTCCGTCTCCCGACCCTCAGTCGCCGTCGCCGCCGCCCTCCCATCACTGATTTCCAGTCGCCGCCACGCCTGCCTCCCAACAACAACTCGAGTCTCGAGAGTCGAGAGTCGCCGCCCTCCATCTCTGCACCATGAGTCACCGCCGGCGCCGGGGGTAGCAGAGCAGAGCACGACAGCCATGGTTGACAATTGATGTTTGAGACTTTGTGTGCTTATTTGTTGTCTCAAGTTCCTCTAAAAAAATGAGGCAGCAGCTGCCATAAAAAAAAGAGGCAGCAGTTCCTCTAAAAAAATGAGGCAGCAGGTCATTCCCAAACATACAGCAGGTCCTTTTCGGGTTGACCACCGAACCAAACCGAACCGGTCTATAATTCGGTTCGGTCGAACCGAACCGAATTATATTCCGGTTTGAGTTCGGTCTGGCCATTTGAGGAAGCAGCCGACCCGGTATCCATATTTTCGGTTCGGTTTCGACCGAACCGAACCGATGCCCACCCCTAGTTGTGATGCAGGCCTTAACCCAGTTGCACCACACATCATTGAAACCATATGCTCTTAAAAGCTCCAGGAGGAAATTCCATTCGACGAGGTCATATGCTTTTCGCATATCAAGCTTCATCATCATCTCTTTACGACCACCAGCTCCTTTTTTCTTGAAGTGGTTAAGTACTTCATGAACAATGATAATGTTGTCTTGGATAAGCCTTCCTCCTGTGAAAGTCGATTGAAGCTCATTAACCAGCCCCGGGAGCCATTTTTGCAGTCTGTTCGTCATGATTTTTGTTATAACTTTGTACCTGAAATTGCAACAACTGATTGGCCTAAATTGGCTAATCGTCTCTGGGGTCTCCACTTTTGGGATGATGGTAATGAAGGTATCATTCCACGATTCTGGCATCATTCTGGTCATGAAGAAGCAAGTGATCTCTTCACAAACTTGGTCCCCGATCAGGTTCCAGAATTTCCTAAAAAAGAAGCCCTGAAAACCATCAGGTCTAGGGGCTTTGTTTGCTCCCAGATGGAAGACTGCTTTACGAATCTCGTTGGTCTCAATTTCAGCTGTAAGGGCTTCATTAATCTGGTTGTTCACCAGTTGCGGGAAGCCAGTCAAGAGCGAGTGGTCGAAGAAACCTCCCTTGCTGGTGAACAGGTCACGGTAGAAGTCATTGATGTGGTTGTCCAGTTCCAGTCGTTCCTCAAGCCAATTTCCATCGGGGTTTTTCAGTTTTAGGATCTTGTTCCTATTCCTCCTTTTGATTGTGCTAGCGTGGAAGAAGCCCGTATTTTGATCACCTTCCTGAAGCCAGCAATTCCATGACGTTTGAGCCCAGAATTCCTCCTCGGTGGCCCAGATCCTAGCGAGTTCCAGATTCAGTGTTTTTTCTTCATTAATCATCTCGTCTGTCCTGTTTGGCCCTTGTAAAGCTTGGATTGTAGCTTCGATTTCTGATTCTCTTCATATTTTGTTGTTGTGGTCAATTCTTGCCCAATTCTGAAGTTCCTTATGACAATCTGACAATTTCTCACTGACTTGCCCTTCTCTGTTCCATCTGTTGGTGATAATGTGGCAGCATTCATCATTATCCCGCCATCTTTTGTCGAACCTGAAAGGGGTATGTCTCGCTTGATGCTTTGGATGAAGGTCGATTCTAATCGGGCAGTGATCCGATTCAATAAAACCTTCATGAAAAACCACTACCGACTCAAAGCTCATCCGCCACGAGGGCGAGCAGAGTGCTCGATCAAGCCTCTCTCTGATAAGATTGTTTCCCTGTTGTTTGTTCGTCCATGTGAAAGGCTGACCCGAGAAGCCCAAATCCATCAAAGCATTTTGTTCAATGAAGTACTTAAAAGGAGCCACGTTTTCATTACGAAGGGGGCAGCGCCCCTGCTTTTCAAACGGAAACAGAGCAACATTCAAGTTACCCAACAAAAGCCACATTTCATCCTGTGCATCCCTAAGGTTCGTAAGTCGATCCCAGAGGCATCTCCGCTCCACTGCCGTGGTTGGAGCATGGATGAATGTACAAAAAAAGGTGACTCCATTCCTACTTATCTTAGTGTCCATGTAGGACTTACAAACATCAAGCACACATAAGTCCACTCCTTCTTTCAACCAAAGCGCCAAGCCACTACCTTCTACTGACGGGCTGACATACTTCGAGTGGTCCATTCTCAGAGCCCTCCTTTTCCCATCCATGAATTGGTCATCTTTCCTGGTTTCCATGAGGAAGACCACTGAGGGGCCAAATTTCCGGCAGAATCTGCCGCAGTAGCCTCTTGTAAGGGGCTGGCCAAACCCCCTACAATTCCAGCTGATGATCCTCATGGTTGGAAAGGCGGCTTGTGGCCTGCCGCCGTTGCCATCGGGAAAGTTGGATTCTCCCTCACCTGAATGGTTCCCGTCCTCATTGATTCCCCTTATGCTCCTTCTCTTAACCGTGTGCTTCTTCCTAGCATACCTCCTGATATCTCCCTCTGTACTAAAAGACAAGGAATCAACAGACAGATTGTTAGCCAAATTTTGTGTTGGTGCCGACTCGGATTGGTTGGTTCGGTGGTCTGGTTTCCGCTTCTTTTTTGGTATGGTTAGAAGCTCCTCCACTTCAATTGGGTTCTGCATGTCTGGAGGCTGTTGAGTGAGCTGGGCCATTTGGTCTAGGACTCCGGCAGACTTTTGGTGATTAAACTGGGCTATTTGGGCCTCTCCTTCTGTTGGCTGCTGTTCGAAGCTTTGGGCTTGCCCTGCTTCTGGAAATGGTGGTGTTGGGCTTGCCAGCGAGAGGGACTGGCCCATCTCCAGGAGCCCTGCCTGCTTCTCCCTTGTCTCCTTCCTTCCCGACAGATCCAACCCTCTCTGCATTGCTGCTGCTAGCTCCACTTGTAACATTGAAACTTGTGAAAAGTTGGTGGGACAGCTCCCTTCTCCTCTAAGCATCCACTCCCGTCCTCTGATTGTTCCTGGGCTCTCCATCGGCAGGGCCACGAAACCAGGTGGGCACGAGACATGGGTCTAGTTTGGGTGGCCCACGAGTGTCAGCAAGGACGATTAAGGGAAAAATACTTGATGAATGAATAATAGTGATAATATAATAAGTAATTGAGTCTATTTAGTTGAAAGATCAAATCTAAATAGTTGAATAAAAGTCAAAATATGAGATATATGAATGGATGAGGTAAAAAATTTGACATAGAACGGGGTAAGAATGGGGCGGGGCAGGGCAGGTCGGAAGTTGATACCCATGCCTCGCCCCACGCTAATGTGGGTCGGGTAATACCCACCCCATCGCGGGTCAGGTCGGGTATTACCCAGCGGGGCGGGTTCAAATTGCCATCCCTACCTGACAGAGCTACACCTACATTTAGAAGTAGGGCCGGTAAACGGTTATCCCATTAATGGTCTAATCGATAACGGAACCGGAACTGCTGCTTAACGACTATACCGATAATAGAATAAATAGTATAAGGTTGGTTTCAGGTAGTCAAATTTAGCTAATAACTGATCGCTGGTTAAATTGTTAATAATCGACGGTTAAACTATTAAGCGACTAATAGGTTACAACTGTCCCCATACCTCCATGAGCCGCAAAGGTAGTTTGAAAATAGTGCGATGTTTGAAGGCTTACAAGACCCCTTGTCTATCCTAGTTGTAATAGTGACTTATACTCAAATGAGAATAATTTAAAGAAAAAGTTTTAGAAGTAGCACACTAGAAAGTCAGATTTGTGTACAGTTGCTCGACAACAATCAATAACATTAAGCTTCCATGTAAATTGGTGGGGTTTACGAGTTGAGTAATTGTTGTTGGGTCTCTTATCGTTGTATGCTTCTTCAATAAAATTTGACAGTAGAATGATATTATTGTATACTTGTATTGGATTGATTTGATTATGTATTGATATATATCTATGCTAAATTATTTTTTATTCAGTGATAAAAAATTAAGAAAAGAATACGTGCATGCATGAAAAATTATATAAAATTTTACAATTGAAAAAAGGAAGTCTTTTGTTGATTAGATTATCGATCAGTTATTTTGGTATAATCTTGCCGAATAACTTGGTTAACGGTGATCCGGTCAACCGACAAAATAACCGAGAACCGACTGTACGGTTATGGTTAACCAACTAATTTAAACGATGTGGTTAAAGGTAAGGACAAAATGCTTAACGCTTAACCAAAAACCGACTAAACAGTTTAGTTAACCGAACCGATTATCAGCCCTATTTAGAAGAAATTATAAATGATCTCTAGAATATTGATCCATTTGTCAAGAAGTGAAGATCTAGCTAAAGACGAGCAATCCAATCCGCTCTGCTTTTGCATTAGTACTTCGAGGTACATTTTTCACCTTAATTTGCTGATTAATTCGAAGAATAGCGTCATTGTTCCAATCCAAGATGCACACCTCCATGGCCATCAAGATGGATTACTCGGTGAAGCTCTTGCAAAAAGTTGACCGTTTGTTTGAGCAATGCATTTAGATCCATAATTTTAATCTAAAGTTGATACTTTTCAAAAGAGCCTTCGTTTCAACTTCCAGTAGAGAAGAAAAAAGGATAAAGTTAAATCGTCTACAAACTTGTCTATGGTTGTTAATGGCCACAATACCATACACCGATTGAGAGTTTCTTAAAACCAACCCATCACAGTGAATCTCCATAAAGAGATTACTTGGAGGTGGAAAAGTCTTATGAGAGATTCCCCTAAACTGATTGCTTTGAGTCGCGAGATGAGAGAGATCTCTTAGGCATGCCGTCCAATCAATCAGGTACTTAGAGGTAGCCCTACAAGTGGTTGGAGGTAGGGAGTTCGAGACCTGATCATATTATTCATTTTTTGTGTCTAGAGATTCCAGCATAGGAAAACGACATGGATGAGGCTGTGGGGGTTGAGGAAATCCTTCAAAGAGTAAAACCATTCAAAGAAGGAGGGGGCATGGGAAGGAAGAGGTAGAGAGGGGAATAGAGCATTCCAGACACTGAGCGAATGAGGGCTGTCAAATAAACAATGAAAAAGAGATTCTTTTGGGTTTTGACAGATGGAACATGTCTTGTTCGAGAGCATTCATGATCATGTATTCTTGAATTAGTAGCTAACCCATTCCTCGAGCATCTCTATATAAAGAATGTATGTTTGGCCTACACCCCTTTTTAGTTGAGAGGGGGCTCTCTCTCAGAAAATATAGACCTTTGAGAAGGAAACACCATAACGCCTTGGGAGCATTCACGAATCTCCATATCTAATTTGCGAAAAATGCCAGATTGAAGTCCTAAAGCTTCAAAATCGTTATCTTCCTCCACTTTTGAAGAACACATGACTTCCCTCCTACATTAGTGTAAACTACTTTTGTGCATTGAACCCAACCAAAAGAAATTGCCGAAAAGTGAGTTCCTCATCTTCGTAATAGAGACAAGAAGCAAGAAGAGGCATGATACGAAATTAATTACACATATTTACTCCTTGTATCTTAGACATTTCTTGTTCATTTGGTATGAAAACACCCTCTCTTATGCCAATTTTACGCTAGGTTGTGTTCTTTTGACATATTTCAGGTCCTAGCACTTGAAGGAAGCTTAGGAGCAAGTTCCACGACATTTGGAGGTCAAAATGGGGCAAAAAAGACAGCTAGACAAAAAGTTACGACCGGGGAGTGACTTCTTCTCCCAAACTGTGAGAATGAGGCAGGGAGGTAGACACACTTTTTTTAAGTCACGGACAAGAGTCCTGGCTGTGATTTCGCCTCTGTTGCGGGTATAAATGGATTTATTTGTTAATTATGAAGGGCAAAACTAGTTTTTTGGATCCCGAACACCCAAGGAACGAATCCTAGAGGTAGAGAGCAATCCAGGGGTGATCTTGGAGCCAAATTTGAGTATTTCTTCACCATTGGAGCACGAGGAACTAGTTTGGAAGTGAAGATTGAAGATCAAAACTAGATTATGTATTAAGTTTCCTCTCTATGGAGCAACTTACCTTCACTTGGGTTTGATGAATCCTATGTATTTTTGTTTGATTAGAGGATTGCATGATTACTCTGAGTTTCCAATATATGCATGGTTTACATATAAATTATTATTTAATTGAGATTATTGATTTATGCTTTGATCTATGAGAGAGAATATATGATTAGGTTGATAGAGCAACATCGATTGGAAGTACGAGATCAATTATTCTAGAGTGAGTCTACCAATTGGTTTTTATTGGGTGAGAATCTTACCCAATAAAGGGAGTCTAGTGTGAATTGCATTGGTATTTTGTCTTTGTTGAGGATAGTGTCCCTCTAAATGGTCTATTTAAGAGGACAATGTATGTTTTAAACGAGGTTCAAGGCTTGTTAAGGACTTTCACATGATGAATGAAGCGTGAAATAAGTTAGAGAATCATCAATCAGTAATCTATCTAGTGGTTAGGGGAAACCATTACCTGAGTGAGCCTCCTAACTTGTAATTAGTTAGTTTAACCCTTTAGTAGTTTGTTAGAGTAGTTTTAATTGTTTAACTCAAATATGAATTTGCTAGATGATAACCTGAAGCTGAGTAATAGTAAATTTAGAGACCCATGAATGTGATAATTTTATTACTTATTACGAGACTCTCTCATGAATTAGTTCAAAAGTATATACTAGTGGGCTATTTTTCTTCGCACAAAGGAATCTATTAGGGGAATTTTTTGCCCCAATATTTATTTGTTAGCAATCGAGGTTTTCATCTATATATTGGATGAGTAAGCTACCTCAAGTCTCCTTACATAATCCATACCATCCCATATGAAAGCGAGTTGGTTTGACTCACTTATGCTTTACTAACAACTTGTTAATCTTTTTAAGCTTATGTCTTGTCTTTGTTCTAATCCAGGCAAGAGGATTTTTTTTTGTGGCAGTTTAACTCACCAACAAATACATAACATGGATGCTAAGTTTGGGTAAAAGCTAGGTAAGTTTCATGTTAGAATCTAGGTGTCCAGTTGGTGGATGGTAAGCATTTTGTCCCTGCTTGTAGGTCTTTGATAGATAAAACTCTTTCTCGCGTACTTGAGTACACATATCATAAAAATCTTTATTCGTTATCTACATATTGTCCACTAAACATCATCTCATATTCCATGGTAAGAACTTCACATCCTACTCTTACCACAATATCTAGCACCTCCCGACCCCTTTCTTATTCTTTGCATGAACTGTTGGAGGAATAGGAACATGCTACTTTCCTTTACTCTTGTCCGTCTATTGATTCATATGTTGAGGCTTCTTGTTTATTTGTACATCTTCTTGTATCTTGGTTTTTCTCTTAACTTATGTCGAATGGTTATGATTTATGACAGAGAGTCACCATGTGGGAATTCAGGAGCTCACTAGCTCGTTGCAATCACATTTTAAATTTAAAGAGTTGGAAACTCTCTAATTTTTTCTAGGCATTGAAATTGTGTGATCACACCTGGGAAATTTATTTCCAACGAAATACATCACTTATATTTTATCGGCGACTCATTACTCTAAGTACAAGGCATGTTCTACTTCTATGGATTTGAACATGAAGTGCAACGTAGAAGATAGAAAATTATTATCCGATTCGATGTTTTACACGAAACTTGTGGGTAGAGCTTCCAAGAGGCTGAACATTGCTTATGAAGTTCAGATAGTGAGTCAATTTATGAGCTGACCATGTCAACTTCACTTAGATTATGTCTTTAAGATTTGACGCTATTTATAGGGCTCAAAGGAGGTGTTCACCTTTCTTCCCTCCCCCGATAGACTCACATTGGAAGCATCTCATATGAAAACTATCCAAGCTATCTTGATACGAGAAAATCCATGTCTAGGTGGTGTGTATGATTGTGTGCTTTGTTTATCTTCCAGCTTAGCAAGAAGCATGATCAAGTCTCCAAATCTTCTACAAAAGTGGAGTATTGGTCTATATTTGAGGTAAGCTTTGCGATCGTATGGCTTTATCGACTATTGGGAGACTTCATAGTTATATCGTCTCAACCTATCAAGCTCTTTGTTGATAACTCAAGCACTATCAAGATAACAATGCAACCAGTCTTGTATGAGCGAAGTGGAACCAAACACATCGAGGTATATGTTCATCACATTCATCCATTGGTTGGTGATGGCTTAATCAAGCTATCATTTAGATATACTAAAGATCAGACTGCAGATTTGCTTACAAAGGTGGTTTTTGCTACTCATCATTGGCTCTTATATGACAAATTGCTATAATATATTATGACCAAATTGAGGGAGGATGTTGAATCCCATCATGTGTGGCTTACGTATATGGATTGTAGTTGGTTGTGTATGGTAGTTATCTGCGGTTTCCGAAACTTTATAAATACAAAATGTACGGCTCCTACAAGGGTAGAGCCTTTCACGATTGAGCTCAATAAGAATAAGAGAAAGTGTTTCCACAGTTCACCTTCTTCTTTCTTCAGTTCATCCTTTCCTTGTTAAGTTTCCAACATCATCTCGTATTCCATGTTAACAACTTCATTTCCTACTACCACCCCGACTCTTTCTTATTATGTTTGAACGGCTGGAGGACTAGGAGCTTACCACTTTCCTTTACTCTTGTCCTTCTGTTGATGCATATCCTGAGGCTCCTAAACCACTTGATAATGAGTGTTTTTTTCTTTGTTCTTTTGCATGCTGAGTATGGTATTTCGTACAAGCATTGTTTTGTTTCTAACTACCTATGATCAAGCAAGAGCAACTTCAACTAGATGTGCATTCAGACAAGTGTTTATTTTAACTCCTTTTCCACTACTCTTGTGAATGGTCAATGCATAATGGGTGTCTGAAACTTTATTTGTGTCTTAAAGCACATCCTTAAGGGGCCACTTCATTCGGTGGGGGATTATACGATACTAAGCAATACCAAACTGTCGCGAACTAACTTCAATTGAATTTGTGTGCTTCTATGCAATGAATGACGTCCTCATACACGCTCTTGGACTTTTACCCCTAAATCTATTTGTTATGACAACGTCTTTATATTTTTTATTGTTAGGTAAAAATGTTCTTTTATAAAGATACCAATTAACTAAAAATATTTAAAAGGAGAAGACTCATGTAGAATAAATCATTCATTGTATTCAAACATGTCAAGACATCATTTTACTTCAAGACGCAAACATACTTCAGTCACTACTCTAGGCTCCTTAGAAACCATAGGTAGACTAAAAGCTTCCTGGTGGCATTTGATTCGACCAAAGTCACGATTTGGTGCGAGTCGACCACACTTATACCCCTAAAATGGACTCACCCCATACTTGACCTACGCCGTACTGAGAGAGGAACTAGACTCTCCAGCCTATCCAGGCTCTGATACCACTTGTCACGGACATAGACTTTCGAAGCCCGTGCGGCGTCTTGAGGGGCACTAGCATTTCCACATATGCATGCCAACTAATGCAGTCAAAAGCGCGATTCAATGTAGAAGCGGTTTAGTGAACTAGAAGCGTAAAACCATAAGCTTTTAAGCATTAAAGTGTAGATTTTGACTAAAATTGTAAGGGGAAAGTGTGATTCTACGTGGAAGCGTTTTGGTGATCTAAAAGGATAAAAGCACAAGCTCTTAAATTTTAAACGCGATTTTGACTGCATTGATGGCAACTGGTTTTGCCCTACCTTGGGCTCATCAGGGAGGCGACAATAGCCTCCGATCAGTTGTGGCCCTACAAGCAAAGATCCCCATCATTGTCACTTCCAAACTCGACTAGAACGATATACAGACAGACAATGCCTTATCGCTATAGTCGTCTACTTTGCCTCTCTTGTGGCAAGAGAACCAGATGATAGCGTTTTTTAGATAATAACACGATCACGATATTCCGGGTCGTGACAGGGGGATAGACCGCAAATCGGTAAAACGAGCTTGACAGTTTTGACTAGCAACTATACAGGGGATCGGTTCAAATTGTTTGGTGGGTCTAGACTCTAGATTGCCCGGATGGTCCGGTTTGGGTGTAACAACATTGGGAAAAAACCGAAAAAGAAGGTCATGGGTCAGCTATGATGAGCATGGATTCTGCCCAATAAATATAAACAGGGTTGGTTGGATGGGATGGGAGCATAAATGGTGGATGTCATCGAGGATATGGCGGAGAAGGCAACATTTATTCTCTCACACACTTAAAAAAATCGGTTAGTTGAGCTGCTAACCAGATCCTCACCTACATTGTTTATTTTTTCCTCTTCCCCTTTTACTTGCTGGATCCGTATCATTGCATTTGAACTGGCAAGAGTCCCCAGTGCTCACTTGCTTGCTTTTTAGTTCGAGGAGCTCTCCTCTCCCTCTTCGCTGTAAATCGCTTCTTTGGCCGTAGTCCTCTTCTCTCAATTTTGAGCTTAGTTGGAGGCTGCGAGGGCACGATTTCTGTTTGTCAATGGCGGGGTTTCTCTCTATGCTCAGGCGAACATATCTATCCGTCTATAACTGGGCCGTCTTCATTGGCTGGTAAGCTCTTTGCTTCCCCCCTCTTCTTCTTTCTTTGTTCTCTTGTGTTTTTCCTCAAATTTTGTAATTTTTATAATTCTCAGGTTTACAGGGCACAGGTGTTGTTCTTAGCCGTGAAGACTTTGAAGGAATCGGGTCATGAACATGTGTACAGTGCAGTTGAGAAGCCACTCCAGCTCGCTCAAACTGCTGCCATTTTGGAGGTCTAGCCACCCTTTTCACTTCTTACATAATCAGCTTTTTCACCTAGCTTTTTTTTCTTCTCAATTTCGGAAAGTCCGTTGCTTTATACCAGTTCCTCACTATGGAATCAATGGTGCTGTTTTCTCTTTTCATTTATGCTATTTCACATCGCATATGAGGATTGCTGAATATACTGTCTATATTTTTGTTGCCTCTGCAGATTGTCCATAGTTTAGTGGGTGAGTCCTTTGTTCCTAGCCTAGCCAATTTTGTAATGAAATTTTGATGGAAAGATTGAAATTTGACTTCTGTTTGGTGGTGATTAAAAAAAAAAAAAAGGTTTGGTTCGGTCTCCCATTTCGGCAACACTCCCACAGATTAGTTCGAGATTGTATCTTACATGGATCATTTTACATAGTTTCCCTGAGGTATAGTCAAATATCTGATGTCCCTTTACTCAATGTAATCTCAATCTGTTGGAAGATGGGTATTTTGAACTAATAAAGGCTGTGTGCTCTTAATCTGTTGGCAGGTTCAGACGCACTTCCTCGTTAGTAGTTTGACCATTAGTTGGTCAATCACAGAGGTAATTCTTATGTTTGGAGTTTGAGTTCTACTGGTTCATTATTCTTAGATATCATTGTTGGTTGATTTTTGTGCCTCTGATTGTTCCTCTACCGAATGGACACTTATGCTGCTGGTTTTGGCATTGCAAATCCAGCATTCTAGGGAAGCCTATTTTCTCTCATTGTTTACCAGGGGTTTCTGCGCTTTGAATGTTCTATAATTCATCAATAATCTCTCGGTCTGGTTGTTTATAAACAATTATAAGTTCGAAGTTAGAGGAGTCGAACAGTGATCATGTTGCACTCTTAGGACATTATGCTCTCTGTTTATGCAGCAGGTTACATGCATTCTCCTAGCATCATGCTCCATTGTTTCTTTGTTCAAAAGGTCCTTCTACCCATCATCTGAGGTTTGTTTTCTTGCATGCAGATTATTCGATATTCGTTCTTCGGCATGAAGGAAGTCTTCGGTGGAACACCTTCATTTCTTTTGTGGCTCAGGTTAACTAATCTTGCATATGATTGGGGCCCTATTCATTAGAAACTGAAAGTGAGTGGATGCTTGTTCTGTTTCTCATCTTGCTTGGTTTTTTGCTGTGTGCAGGTATAGCACTTTTTTGGTGATGTATCCCATTGGTATCAGCAGTGAAGTTGGTCTCATTTATCTCGCCTTGCCTCACATAAAGGTAAACCCAATTCTGATGTTGAATCTCTTGTCAGTTTTGCACAAATTAAAATGGTTAACTTTGTGAAGGAAGAACGTTACAGTTGGGCTTCCTGAGTATTCTTAGACAAGGCTTGCTGTGTTTTTTTGCAGGTATCTGAAAAGTTCTGCATAAGGATGCCCAACAGATGGAACTTCTCCTTCGATAACTTCTACATCGCTATCGTTGCTCTCGGAATCTATGTCCCAGGCATGAAATTATTAACCTGTGACCTTGTTCATCAAGTTTGGTTGGAAGTGAAGCATTACATTCAGATATGGCTGATTCGGTTTTTCTGGCCCTTATGGTTGCAGGTTCTCCTCACCTCTACAGGTACATGCTTAGCCAAAGGAAAAAGGCTCTCTCTAAATCAAAGAGAGAATAGAATATGGCTTCCAACAGATTGAAGTGATTCATTCCTGTTATGGGTGACTATCGCATTCGGTTCGGAGTCAAATGTAACAGTGTAGTGTACGCAGGAATAATTGAACACTTATGAAACTGGAATTTAAATGATCTCTTCTTCTCCTTTTATTCTTCTATTTTTCTCTTCATCACAAAAAAACGCAAGGAAGCAATCTAGGCTACATCAAAGGCTCAAACATCTTAGTAATGCTCAAAATGACACGAAAACACTTGGAATTACAAAACTCTCATCATTTGAGTTACACAACCTTACAATGGTAGATCTCAAGTTGCGCAACCTTTAAAAATGTTCATTTGATGAGATATGCACCCGCTAGATCCCAAGTTACCCAACCTTTGCAAGACAGAGTTACACGGAATTTGAATATGAACTTGCATAACAAAGAAGAAACTAAAATCTATTGGGGTAGACCATGCTACACTAAGTCGGACAATGTGGATGTCATATGGCGTCATACCGGCAAATTTGCAGGAGATATAGATCAATGTGTGTGACGTGACCTTGCACACATGAGTTTACATTACAACACAATTTCGAAGGTTGAGTTGTATAAGATCTAGACCCGATGTCGTAATACACTATTGTGTGAAGTCACTTATGTAACTTTTAAGTAGTGTCTTAAGTTTTTGGGTAATTATAGAAGAATTACATAATTAGTCTGTTTACGGTTAATATATAAGAAGGCAAAATTCACTTCCATAGCCATAACTTTGCACTTTGTGACAAATATAGCCAGATTCTGAGAAATACACAGAAATAGCCATTCCGTCCAATAATATAACAGAAAACATAACGCTTGCTGACTGGACAAACGATCCCAAATGGCCGCGTTTAATTTGATCTACGTGTAAGCCAACGTGGAAATGAATTAATTATTTATCATTAATTTTTTTTACCCTACTTTACCAATTTCTCACCTTAACCGCAGAAGAACCAACAGTTCCCCCTTGTTCCCCCTTTCTCCATTCCTCTTCGCGAATACCCAGCAGAAACCTAAATCTCCACCACCCCCACTCTCGATTCTATTCGCCGGTGACTGTGAATTGACCAACACAGTCATCCGGTCATCTCGCCTTGGTCGACGTGTTTTCTCGCCTCACTTCGCCGTCGAACTTCCCTTCGTATCCCTTTCAATTGACGAACACAGAAGTGGCGACTCAGCATCGTGGAGCTTAATAGCAAGCTCGGAGGTCGCTTCCAGTCGTCGACGGCGAAGAGGATAAGTGGACTCTGTCGATCTTTCTTGGTGAAGGTCGAAAGTATCGATTCCTGTAAAAAAGCCAAAAACAAAGCTCGAACCCTAATATGTTTTTGGTAAGAACTCCTCGCCTCTTCCTCTGCCTTGCCTCTGTTACTCCTTACCCCTCGCTTCTCTTACTCTCACCTCAGTTTGTGTGGATGGATGTGAATGGTGGGAACCCTAATCCAAAATTGCTCCTTTATAGGAAGGAATAACCAAGCTGTAAAGTTGGGAAAGCGACGCAGCAAGTGTTTGGAGGGACCACAAGAATCTCTTTGTCACGAGATTGCCCCTACAACATACGGTAAGAAGCTGAAATATGTGGATAGAACCGTCAAAGAGCGTGACGAATTCCTTGCTTTGAAATTGTCAGAACCTAACGTGATTTCTTTAATGGATGTTGCTGTGTTGCTTGTTTGGTAGTGATTTGTTTATATACTATTAGTAAGTAATGCTTATTTAATTAAGCTTAGGGCTTTAGTTTAGTAGCTAATCAATTAAACCTAATTTGCACAGATGTCAGATGCTTGGGACGAGAATGATACAAATCAGAATGGTGGTGAAGATATATCAATGGAGGCAGATGGTGATGCATCCGTTGCACGAGACATCTACCATGTTTATGACTCTGAGGATGCCATCACATCCGATGATGAGTACCACGAAGCTAGGGCTGCCTTACGTTCCTATGGGGAAGGGAAGAGAAGGAAGGTTAATGCTAGGTTGGTTCCTGATGGAGAGGAGGTTGATCAGCTTGAGGAGTTTGAGGACGACGCAACTGATGTTGATGAGGATGAAGGAGATGATGCAGCTCCACAACCACCTCATAACTCACAACACTCCACTTCCCACCCGGCATCAGAGGCACCTCCACAGCAGCCTCAACAAGATCACAGAGAGACTTCACAGCATTCGAGCTACAGAGGATCTGAGGAGTCTCTTCACGTCAGGCCAAACTTGTCAGACGAGGCAGGTGGTGATCTCAACGATGGCGCACCACATTATGATCCCACATGTGATCACAAAGCTTTGAGGTTTGTATGCAAGATGAAGTTTGCTAATATGGTGCAGTTCAAAGATGCTGTGGTTAGGCATGCTGTGGCAGCTGGTGCTTGTCTGCGATGGCTTCGGAGTAACCCTACGAGGAGGGAGGTTAGGTGCAAAGATCCCAACTGCAAATGGAAACTTTATGCTAGCTGGTTCAGAAGGAACAAGTGCTTCATGATCCGGAAAGTAGGGTTGGATCATTCATGTGCAAGAAGTCTCCGGGTTAATCAAATAACCGCCAACTGGATAGCATCTGACATGCTTGAAAGGTTCAGAATTAACCCTACCTGGGCACCAGATCAGATTATGGCCGAGATCAAGCTTAAACACAACATGGATGTGAAGAAGAGAACTTGTTACAGAGCCAAAGTTGCGGCTATTAAGCTTTTAAGCGGGTCCTTGGTTGATGAATATAAGGGTCTCCGGAGTTATGTTTCCGAGTTAATGAAAAGAGATCCAGATGGACGATTTGTTCTGGAAGTAGATCCACATCCAGATGGTGATAAGTGTTACTTTCGAAGTCTCTTCATTGGATTCTCGTGCTTGAGGGATGGTTTTTTGCTTTCATGTAGACCTATGTTTGGGTTAGATGGTTGCTTCCTCAAGGGCGAGGTGAAGGGCATGCTGCTTTCCGCTGCTGGGAAAGATGGAAACAACCAAATGTTTCCTATAGTATGGGCTGTCGTGGAAGGAGAGAATACCTCATCATGGATGTGGTTTGTCCAGCTTGTAACTCAAGAGCTGTCGATGAGAGATGGTAGGGGATGGACCGTGATTTCGGATCAACAGAAGGTATTGTTATCTACTTATTTTAATGAGTTCACGAATATCCACTTACAAGTCTGGATATGGCTAACCGTTTATGTATTATTTACTTCCTATGCAGGGTTTGGTTGAGTCCCTACGTGAAGTGCTTCCCGAGGCTGAGCATCGAAAATGTGCCAGACATGTGTATGCAAATTGGAAAGCAAAAAACAAGACTGATCGGGTTAGGAAACTATTTTGGAAGGCTGTGTATGCTTGTAACGAGCCGGATTGGAAAAAAGCTACTTGTGAAATGGAAGAAATACAAGGTAATGGATCTGATTCCACCCCATACACTGATTTCATGGCTGCTGAACCAACCAAATTCTGTCGAGCATTCCTCTCCACAGTTCCCAAATGTGATTCGGTTGAGTCTAACATTTGCGAGACATGGAATGGTAGCATTGTGAAGTATAGGGGATTTCGAATCATAGACATGTTAGAAGGAATTAGGGGTTACATGATGGTTAGGGTGGTGATTAAACACAAGATGCTCATGGACACTACTGATGAACTTTGTCCTAGAATTAGGAAACGATTGGAGAAGGACAAAGAGTTTGCTAGGTTGTGTGTGTCTAGACAATCTTTACATGATAAGTGTGAAGTGAAGATGGGTGGTGAAGGGTATATTGTCGATCTGAGTGCTAAAGAATGCACGTGTGGGTACTGGCAGCTCAGTGGAATCCCCTGTTGTCATGCTATTTCTGCGATCAGCCACCTAAGGAAAAATCCAGATGATTTTGTTCATCCTCTTTACCGAGCAATGTACGTGTCTGAGGGTTACAAGGTAGGGCTGCCTTGTCTTGATGGTAGACAAGCGTGGCCAACTGCTCAAGGGTATGAAGTCCACCCTCCTAAGGCTAGAGCTATGCCTGGGCGCCCTAAAAAAACAAAAAAAAAGTCTGCTGCTGAGTTAGAGACGAGACCACAACGTGGGGGAGTGGGTGAGGAAGTCTGTAGACGAGGTAACTTGATCCGTTGCTCAAATTGTGGAGGTGAAGGCCACAACGCGAGATCTTGTAAAGCACCTCCTGCTGTTCGAGAAGAAAGGGTAAAATTTTAACTAACCTATGACTGTAGTTTTGCTATTGTTATGTAATACTTAATGTGCTCATTTCTCTACTGTTTTGAAGGTAAACAATTCCTCTCAAAGGGGGAAGAGAGCTGCTGTCCAAGAAGCGGATGTGGATGTGAGGTCCAAACGTGCCAAACACTGCTCCAAGTGTGGACGACCAGATCACAGTATGAGGACATGTCCATTGAATAGGGGTCTAGGGATACAGGTAAGCTTGCAAGTTGATATCTTGTGTGAATGGTTAATTAAAGTGCATTTATTTTCACATTGATTTGAGAATGGAGAATGGTGAATGACTATGAATGGTATGGTTTTGATAAGGACGTGAGATTGAATGTTGGAGATCGAGCTACGATTGCCAGGGAAATACGTCGTGAAGCTGCTGGCGTGGGTGTGTATGTCGATGAGACTACGGGGAACCAATATGTTAGGGTGAGTTGCATCATATTATTGTAAGGGTGAGAATGTTTGTCAAGTGCTGCCTCATAACTTACCTATGTTTGTTCTTACATTTACAGATGAATGGTGACCGTGGCCGCCCTCATGGAGAGCAACCAACAGTACCTTTAGCCCAAGCTTCTGTGGTGGACTTACATGGAAGCCAACCACCACCAACTCAGCCTTAGCGAGTCATGAAAGCAACCTTTTTGAGTCATTTTTTGTACAGACCAGCAACTGAGGTTGTTAGGTGCTGTTTTTGTCGACTCATGTAATGGCTATAATAAGCCTTAAGGATTGCTCACTTTCTGTTAGGTGTAGTGTAGCTAAGTGATGTTAGGTGTAGTGTAGCTAAGTGATGCGATTCAGTCCCTTTTATAGATGAGGAGGTGAAGATTTGTGTGAGTTGGAAACACCTCGTCTTTCCTTATTTGCAACGCTTGATTTAGGGAGTGATTCTTGAGTTGATTATGTAATCAATCAGTTGATTGATTTTGACTTGATTTCCAAGCTTCTAGTGATGTTGATTTACTCCCAACGAGCTATTTTGTCGACTGTCTCTGATTTCCCAAATCTTTCTACAATCTCCCCTTAAATCAGAGATTGTCGATTGCCTGAAACAAAAAAAGACGACACTACCTTTCCTACTTCTCAAGGAGTTAGTTTTTAACAAATGAAATAGTTATTTCAGCAACCACATCTCTCTAAGAAGCACAATTAATCCACATAGAGGAAAATAGAGTTTATCATAAAGAACAAGGCCGACACAGCTTTAACCGAAGCAATCATAATAAACCGAAGCAATCATAGTCTATAACAAAATTAAAGCCAACAACCATAAGACTAGCTAAACAACCAAACTAAGTTAAACATCATCACTAGTGTTGTTGTTGGTGTCACTGCTCTCACTGGAACTAACACTAGTGTTGCTGTCGACTTCTTCCTTGACAGTGTCCTCGTCTCCACTATTGTTGTCAAGAGGTTCCTCCCCTTCAATCACAATCTCCAGAGCTTCAAGAATATCCGCAGCCACAGGGGAGAACACAGGATTGAAAGTGATAAAGGATGACAGGTTTATCTCAAGGTGAACGAGAATGGTCGACACAAGGGGACCGAAAGGCAGAGCTTCACCTAGGACAGGTTCAGTAAATCGCAGTAGGGACCCAAAAAATAAGTGAAAGTAATTCAGGGGGGGTACCATGGACAGCATTCGAGATGATCCAAAGATCGAGAGGGAGAATAGTCGTAACAGAGTGATCTCTGGGAAGAAAGACTCGAACAATGTAATAGTGGAGGAGACGAAGGGGTGGGGGAAGGACAGTGACAGGTAAAGTGTTATTTGGTTCTGGAGGATGGCCAGTAATAGCAAGAAATTCCTCAGCAATGTTGAAAGCAAACAGGGGAAATTCGGACTCATCGGCTAAAGTAGCCCCATGAACAGGAATATGCAAGAGCATGCTGAGATCATCAATATGAATAGCGAAGGCATGGCCAAAGACCAGAGAGTGAAAGGAACGAGATGACAGCCCAGGGGATTGAAGATTGGAGTAGAACAATTGAATAATTTCAGGGCAGAACGAGGTCGTTAGAGGAGCATCAAGGAAAGGGGTCCAACCAAGGTTCTGAACATAGGGAGTAATATCAAGGCCAACTTCTACTAATGTAGGGAACGGCACAAGACAGAAGGAAATCAAGGGGCGATTGATAAAAAAATGGATGTGACGATGATAGTTTGAGATGATAGGCTCAAGGAACAATGTACCCGTGTATGTGATGATGAGTACCATTGTAAAACCAGACAGAGCAGATGGAGAGTACACGGAATTTACCTAGGGCTGGGTATTAAATAAACACGACACACTCAATCAAGGAAACTATTAAATAAGAAGAAAACTATCACACAAAAAGAAGGTAATAAATGAAGATCAGAATAGGAAGAAAAATAAATAATAATAAAAAACTAAAAAGGAAGAACAGCTTAGCGAATAATGCTCTCGGAGAGAGCCTGATGGGAGCGAAGCCCAAGTTCATAGCACAAGAAGATGAATCGATCAGCAGGGAGAGATTTTGTAAAAATATCCGCCAGTTGAAATTCAATAGGAATATGATGGAGAGCAACAGTTTGAGCTTGGACTAGATCCCGGATGAAATGGTATTTCACTTCTATATGTTTGGTTCTAGAATGTTGCACGGGATTTTTAGTAATGTAGATGGCACTGGTGTTATCACAAAACAAAGGCATGATTAATGTTTTTATACCATAATCGGCTAGCTGATTTTTTAACCAAAGAAGCTAAGTGCATGAGCTACCAGCTGCTATATATTCTGCCTCAGCTGTGGATAAAGCCACTGCACTTTGCTTCTTACTAGACCATGAAACCAGAGAGGTTCCTACAAACTGACAACTACCAGTGGTGCTACGACGATCAGTAAGACTACCAGCAAAATAAGAATCACTGTAGCCTAATAGATCAAAGCGATCATGCCGGGGATACCATAGACCTACATCAGATGTGCCTTTAATATACCTAAAAATGCGCTTTAAGGCAGCTAAATGACTTTCTTTGGGTGCTGATTGAAACCGAGCACATAGACAAACAGAGAAGAGGATGTCAGGTCGACTGGCAGTAAGATAGAGTAAAGAACCTATCATGCCCCTATACTGAGACTCGTTTACCGGGTTTCCTGTCTCATCCTGACAAAGCTTAGTAGTAGTAGCCATCGGTGTAGGGCTAGGATTTAGGGAGTTGAAGCCAAATTTACTAAGCATGGAGGAAATGTACTTAGATTGATTAATAAAAATACCTTCACTAGTTTGTTTTATTTGTAGACCTAGGAAGAATTGTAGCTCACCCATCATGCTCATCTCAAAAACACTTTTCATAGAAGCACAGAAATCAGAACATAGTTGATCATTGGTTGATCCAAAAACAATGTCATCGACATATACTTGAACCAAAAGAAGATCACTAGAAACACGTTTAATAAACAAAGTTTTGTCTACGGATCCTTGCTCAAAGCCTTGACTTAGTAAGAACGACGTGAGTCGGTCATACCAAGCACGAGGAGCTTGCTTAAGGCCATAGAGAGCTTTATTTAGTTTAAAAACGTAGTTTGGGTGTTCATGACTTACAAAACCAGGGGGCTGGGTTACATAGACATCTTCTTCTATGATACCATTTAAGAAGGCACTCTTAACGTCCATCTGATATAATTTAAAGTTCATATAACTAGCAAAAGCACAGAGAAGACGGATTGATTCGAGACGAGCAACAGGTGCAAATGTCTCATCGTAGTCAATCCCTTCTTCTTGTGAGTATCCTTGAGCAACTAAACGAGCTTTATTACGGATTATTATACCTTCTTCATCAGTTTTATTCCGAAAAACCCATTTTGTTCCTAAAGGAGTCACAGTATCAGGACATGGAACTAGATCCCACACATGAAGATGTTCAAATTGAGCCAATTCTTCAATCATAGCAAAAGACCATTCATCATCTTTCAGGGCTTCCTTATAATTTCTAGGTTCATGTTGGGAAACAAAGACGTATTGGCCAGGAGTGTACTTACCTCGAGTTCTGACCCCATCTGTTATTTGGCCAATGACCTGACTTGTGGGATGTCGTTTCGTGATGTGTGCTGGAGCTGTCAGAGTGTCTTTCGGATCCAGATTGTGAGTGTCAAGTTCTGGATCACACGAGTGGACTTCGAGAGAGTCTTCGGATGCAGTAGGGAGTGGTGTAGGGATCTCTTGATGTATGTCTACCTCAGAATTGACAATTGTTGCAGGAGTCGAGGAGTTTGCATCTGTAGGTTGAGTCGTGGCCGATGCATTTGATGAATTTGTCATCTCTGCAAATTCAAATACTTCCATATCTGGGTTGCTAGGCTGCAAAGCTACATTAGTATCATCAAAGGTTACATGCACAGTTTCCTCAACCCGTTGAGTCCTTTTATTAAACACCCTATAAGCTTGACCTTTAATAGAGTATCCAAGAAAAATTCCTTCATCAGACTTGGCATCGAATTTGCCTAAGTTGTCCTTGGTATTCAAACAATAGCAGCGACAACCGAAGGGATGAAAGTAAGAAATGCTTGGTTTCTTGCCTTTAAAGATTTCATAAGGTGTCTTGTTTAAGTGCTTACGAATTAAAACTTGATTTCCTATATAGCATGCTGTGCTAACTGCTTCTGCCCAAAAATATTTAGGTAACCCATATTCAAGAAGCATGGTTCTAGCACATTCAATTAGGGTACGGTTTTTTCTTTCTACAACCCCATTTTGTTGAGGTGTACGAGGAGCAGAGAAGGTATGATGAATGCCTAAGGAATCACATAAGCTTTCAAATTCATTTGAGATAAATTCTCCGCCATTGTCACTTTTGATGGTTGGAATTTTCTTATCAAAAGTAAGAGTAAAATTTTGAAATTTTGAAAAGGTTTCACTCTTATGCCCAAGAAAATACACCCAAGTATATCGAGAAAAGTCATCAACAAGCACAAATGCATAATTCTTACCTCCTAGACTAGAAACATTGCAAGGAACAAAGAGATCCATATGGATCAGTTCAAAAACTGCAGAGGTTGTAATTCCAGATTTTGGTTTGAAGGTTCGTTTAGTGTGTTTGCCTTGAACACAAATATGGCAGAAAAAATCTGATTTGTCTTTTAATAAAGGAATACCACGAACTAATTCAGATTTAGACAGATGAGACAGTATGGATAGACTAACATGTCCCAACTTACGATGCCAAAGGAGTTCTAAATGTGATGCAGCCACAAAACATATTTCACCGGATGATCCTAATTTCTGGAAATTAATAACATACATGTTATTCTGACGTTTTCCAACAAACAAAGTTTTGTGATCTTGTGAGTTTTCAACGACACAATGAGATGCTTCAAAAATCACTTTATATCCACTACTACATAACTGACTTATTGAGAGTAAGTTATGTTTTAGACCCTCGACCAGTAAAACGTTATGAATGACAGGAAAGGGTTCTCGGCCAATAGTACCATGACCAATGATATTTCCAGAACTATCATCACCAAAGATAACCTTACCACCATTTCTAGGGGATAGAGAAGAGAACAACTGCTTTGTGCCAGTCATGTGATGGGAGCACCCACTATCCATATACCAGTGAGGCTCATCATTCATGTCTGAGTTAAATGTTGTTGTTTTGAAGGCAAGTTCAGTAGAAGAGTGAGCAGAGTTACCTTCTACATTCATGGCAAAGGCCATAAATGCTTCCTCGTCTATCTGATCATCGTCTGACTCAGAGTCGTAGTCACTCCA